TATTAAGTTGATGGTTGCTTAAGTTTGAACCCATTTTTTACTCCTTTCCCCCATGTTTTAGGTATATGGTGTCATATTTTACATCCTTTTATTTTGTGAATCCTTTGTGAAAAAAACCTTTCAGTGGTTTTTACAGATGTACTTCTTTTTCACACTCTCATTTATGGTCTTTGCTTTCTACTCACAGAGTCCCCCTTAATATTTCTTGCAGGGCTGGTTTAGTAGTCATGAACGCCTTGGTTTTTGTGTCTGAAACTGAAACTCTTTATCTCTCCTTATATTCTGAATGATAGTCTTGGTGGCTAGAGTATTGTTGGCTGCAAATATTTCCCTTTCAGCACTTTGAATATATAATGCCATGTCCTTCTGGTCTGCAAAGTTTCTGATGAAAAATCTGCTGATATCTGATAGGGTTTCCCTTGTATGTAACTGTCTTCTTTTCTCTTGCTGCTTTTAAGATTTTTTTCTTCATCACTAATTTTTACCATTTTAATTAGAATGTGTCTTTGTGTAGACCTCCTTGGGTTGATTTTTTGGGGGTCTCTGACTCCTGTATCTGGATATATATTTCCTTCCCCAGGTTAGGAATATTTTCAGCTATTATTTCTTCAAGTAAGCTTTTGCCCCCTTTTTCCTCTCTTCTTTCTCTGGGATTGCCATAATGTCTGTGTTATCAGATACAATGTAGTCACTGAGTTCCCTAAGACTATTCTCAATATGTATGATTTTTTTTCCTCTTGTTTGCTCAGCTTGGTTACCTTCCATTACTTTGTCTTCCAGGTCATTAATTTGTTCCTCTGTTTCATTTAGCCTGCTTTTTATTCCATCAAGTGTATTTTTAATTTATTTATTGTGTCCTTCATCTCTGATTCTTTTTTATCTCTTTGTCAAGTGTCTCACTGATGTCCTCTACTCTTTTCTCCAGTCCAGTGAATATCTTTATGATCCTTACTTTAAATTTAAATTCTCTGTCAGGCTTATTACTCATGTCTGTTTTGCTTAGGTCTCTTGCTGTGATTTGGTCCTATTCCTGTGCTTGGGATATATTTCTCTGTCTCCTGATTTTTTTTGTAATTCTCTGTATATGTTTCTCTGTGTTAGGTAAGTCAACTATGTCTTCTGCTCTTGAAGGTAGTGGACTTAAAAAGAAGTCCTTAAGTATCCTGTAGTGTAGTGTCCCCTGCTTCCCAGGGCCTGTCACTTCAGATAGTTTCTCTTGTGTGTGTTGTATGTGCTTTGCTGTGTTCTTGTATCTTTTCCCTTTAGTTTAGTTGTCTGTAGTGGCTCTTTTTGCCTACTGTGGGAAGTACTTGGTCCCTGGCAGTTGTGGCCTGCATTTATTCAAGGTAAATGCTGGTTTACTTGCTAATTGAGACCTGGAGCTTCTGCTGTTAGTATTGGCTAGCCTAAGTAAATGGACAAATGGTGCATGGGTGGGTCTTGCACTTTTAACAAAGTGCACCTCAGACTTCTGCAGAGTCTGCTGCTACCAAGACCAAGGCTCCAAAAAGGCACAGGTCAAGAGTTGCAATGTTGGTGAGATTTGCACTGATCATCTGGGAGAGAGGCTCTGCGGTGCTAAGACTGAGGCAAGCGTGACTGGAAATGCCAGATCCAGTGAAGGATGGGGCTGGGGGGTGTTGGCAGTAGCACGTTAGGTAGCAAGTGTGGGCAAAGCTGGTTCCCACATGTGCCTATGTGTTTATGCTGGGGGTGGGGATGGGAAATGGTGTCTTCCAGCTCCTTTGTTCCTGGAGGAGTCTTTCTGAGATCCCTATCTCTTCAGAGCATGCTCTGTAATGAGTAAATCACTCTCCCTCCTCTTTGCCACCCAGTTTTTTTTTCAAACTTTTGGTTCTACACTGTATCTGCTCAGGCTGCTAGTCAAATTGCATCTTCAAGGGTGGGGACTCAGCTTCCTAATGCCAGCAGAGCTCTTCCAGAGCTGAACACCTTATTTTAAGAATTCTAGGCTTTAAGTCCCACTATTTGCAAAACCTCATGAAATTAGGCTCCTCTTGTTTTCAAAGCCAAATGATATGGGGGTTCATCTTCCAATTTTGGGTCCCTGACTTGATTGTCTTTTTCTTGCCTTTCACCATGCTTCCAGCTTGCTCCTGTCTGATGGCCACAGACCCTGTAGGTCTCAAATCGCATGTCCACCTTCTTCAATGTGGTCTCTTCTCTACCTTTGGTTGTGGGGTTTGTTCTATAAATCTTTGGGTCTTTTTCTAGGTGTTTTATCTAGTTTTATCCATGGAAAGAGGTGAGCTTAGGGTACTCCTATGCTGCCATCTTCCCAGCAGCACGAGATAGAAAATCTTTGATGTCACTGCTGACTAATGGGTGCTTCAGGGATTGGGTTCACATGCAGGATTCAGAGGAAGGCAGCTTCTCAAGAAAGAGCTGGAAGCATTGACACAATGTGTAGGCACTTAGCTCTCCCTCATTCTTGTTTATCATTCCTAGGGGCTACTTTACCATGTGGGCAATGCTCATTTCATAGAAAAAATATATGAATATATACACAAATTCAAGAATCCTAAACCTAAACAGAACAGTGAATGTCCTGCATTCTGGAACCCTTTACCACTGCCTTTTTGTTAGAAGGTAATACCTTTGACAGAGATACAGAATTAGGTAATACTAATACAGTAAATACAGTATTAGGTGTACAGAGAAAATATAATATCCTTATAGTCTATGATCAATCTAATCAGTTCTAAAAAGTTCCTTCTCCCCTGGAAAGCCAGGCAGGGTTGAGGAATGGGTGGGGCTGGGTAGCACTCTTATTTGTTAACATTGGCTGTTCCTTCTGGTTTACAATCCTTTAGCTAATCCACTCTCTGGGGTAAATGCCCATGTTTCAGAGTTCCTACCTTTCTCCTGCTCCTCTATAAGATAGTATCTAGGTATATGAGCAGGGTTTATATGAATGCAGAGCCGTGGGCAAGGGCTTGTGCATCCATGTAAGCAAACCTTTGTGTTGCCTTCTGGTCTTCTCTGGACTTTCTGCTTTGGTCTCATGCATCGTCTGCTATTTGCTGCAAGATAGCTGGCTTTGCCTGCACTTTGGGACATCATACTCACACCTATTCCTGAAGTTCATGTTCTATTTGCTTTCCTGTGGTCCTGAAGTCCCCTGTGCACAGAACTTCCACTGAATCCCAGGCCTGAACCAGTGTCACACATCTATACCTACCCTCCACCTGAGGCACCAGGGATTTCTGGACTCCTGCCTGCTGTACTTGCCTGTATGGAGCTTATCTAAAGAGCTACCCTCAGCCCACACTCTGCCAGTGTAGTGTTCTGCATTATGCTGGAGTTGATGCTGAGTGGAACATGAGGCTTCTTTTAGACTAAAGCCTTGTGACCTGCACCAGGCTGTGTCTGATGAAGTATGTCACCAGCCCCATTGACCTGTTTTACAGACCCATCTGTGTGTTTGTACTGTTCCACCAAGAACACTGACATCTGAGCTCTTTGCTCTACCTTACTTCCATTATGTCCCCACATATTCCCCTTCAATATTTTACTTGCCAGAAGTGATGGGCTTTTTCCCATTTCTTGTCTGGTAGAGACTTCCTTTCTAGATGCACTGTAGCTTTACTTTGATACACAAAGGTAACCTAAGTTGTCTTCCTTTCTCAAAAATGCCTGCTTCTTAAGACTATGGTTTTGCCAAAGTCTCAAAAGGAAGTTAGTTTGAATCTCAGAACTGAACATTGCCCTTAGTTGAAAATTGCCTTTAGTTCTTAATTATGGGTGTGTATATGTGCATGCATGAGTGTGTATGATTAACCCCTTGGTCTTCTGGTGAAACCTCTGGACCACTTCTCAAAATAATATTTGTAAGTGTATAAATAATATACATGTGATTAAAAAGAAACTCAAATATACTGAAATGATGTTATCAAAGTATTAAGGAAACAAATTTGTGACAATAATATGTGTGTTTCTTAAATTTTTTTAATGTTTATTTTTCAGAGAGAGACAGAGCATGAGTGGGGGAGAGGCAGAGAGAGGGAAACACAGAATCTGAAGCAGGCTTAGGGATCTGAGCTGTCAGCACAGAGTCTGAAGTGGGGCTTGAACTCAGAAACTATGAGATCATAACCTGACCTGAAGTTGGACATTTAACTGACTGAGCCACCCAGGTGCCCCTGTCCTTCTTTATCAATACATTAAATGGGAAGGCCTAATAATTACTTTAGTGTAGTAATAGTAACAATAGTATTTGATATTTCAAGATATTTGCAACAACTGAAATATAAATGAAAATACCCTTACTTTTAATGGTGACAAATTCACAAGTAGGTTGTTGACCACATTCATGGGGGAAGAAAATTATTAATTTCAACAAAAGGTTAGTGAAAAATCAAGATAAAAACTTTTTCTCATTTAAGTTCATGTACCCATGGATTCTGTCTCTGGACCTTTTCAGGGTCTAGATCTGTATTCTAGATGGTATCTTCTTTCTCTATGGAAGGATAGGTGTTATTGGGTGAGAAACTACAGGGAGCAGAATTTATAAACTATGGAAATACATGTAAAATATTTCAGAAATTTTCTCTATTAATGTAATCTTCTGATGAAAAACTATTGATACATAAAGTTGAAGTGTGGCATAGTTGAACATTTTGTGTTTTTCTCTTCTCCACATATCTTCCATTTCCCAGTTACGCAAACTGGTTCCATCATTTGATGCTTTACTTAGCACTTCACTAACACTTTATATTTGCCTGGTGTCTTAATACAATTTTTGCTTCTCAAATGTTGCTTTTGAGTAAGAATGTAAAAAGTGCTTTTTGAAAAGTATAAATCTAGTTCTTTAAGATAAAGGAGTAATTGAAGAGATGGAGTTAGATTCTTTCCTTTGCCTTGATTAGGAGAATCTATATTATGTATCAACTAACCAAAACAGTCCAGTTTTTGATCCACCTAGTTTCATGAAATGATTGTGTGTATGTATGTATGCATATATGTGTTTATTTATTTAGTTTTGCCAGCTAAGCCTGAGAACATTTCCTGTGTCTTCTACTATGAAGAGAATTTTACTTGCACCTGGAGTCCAGAGAAAGAAGCCAGTTATACATGGTACAAAGTAAAGAGAACTTAGTAAGTACCGGAGCTTGTGTGCTATCAGTGGGAGTAAGGGTAGGAGGCAGAGGCTCCTGGTTCTCTCATGATTCAAGTCACTTCTGAAGTGAAATGTTCTCCTCATTATAGCTTCTGGGTGACTCCCATAGCCTCTGATGGCTGGGATGACACCTTGGCTGCTTGCAGCCATACTGACAGGAGCTGCAACTATGGAGGGAGGGGAGCTATAGCCACATGATGGCCTCTTCTCAGAGGCACTGGATTGGCTCAGAGCAGTCACCAGTTTAATCAGAGTGGAAAAATCTGCTTATTTACTATATTCAGCTATGTTCTTCCTCTTTCCAGAATGTGTCCTAAAACTGTTCCTTTTTCATGGATGCAATGTTAATAAGTAGGGTCGTAAACCCAGAACTAAGAGGGAGATTTACACTAATTTGCTATGTGACCTCTGTTAAACAGTATTCCACCAGGACAGTGCTTCCCCAATTTCTTACTACCTCAAGCATCCCTTTTTATCCTAATCCTATTAGAATAAAAATTATAAAATTTTTATTATTATTCTAGCCAAAAGCTAGATGTTTTAGCAAGTTTATGCAGGGGTTCTTTTTTGAAATTTTGAAAATAGTTCATGAAACCCTTTGTGGACTTCATGTTCCCCTAAGAATAAGGATGCCCACATTGGGAAATATTGAAAGATTATCTTTTCCATTCCAAAAAGAGTCTATACTTCCAAGTTTTTGTTTTGTTTTGTTTTTAAATACAAGATCTCATTTATACTCTTTTTTCCCCACTCCTTGGAAATTGGTAACTAGTGTTGTAGGGGAAATCCACTTTATGCTTTACAGTAGAAGAAATTGAAAAAAGCAAGCACTATTCCTTGCAGTACTCATATATCAATGAGTATATCAGAGAGATGATTTAACATAGAGGTCAGCAAACTTTTTCTATAAAGGGACAGATAGTAGATATTTTAGGCTTAGAGGGAGGTGGATCTCTGTCAAACTATTTAACACTATTTCTGTAGCAGGAAAGTTGCCATAGACAATATGTAAACCAATGGACCTCACTGTTGTCCAAATAAACCTTATTTATGGATCCTGAAATTTGAATTTCATATACTTTTCACATGCCACAAAGTATTTTTTCTTTTTATATATTTTCCCCAACCATTTAACAATGTCAAACCTGTTCTTAGCCTTTGGGCCAATCAAGAATAGGTGGCGGGCTGTATTGGGCCTATAGGCCTAGTTTGCTGAGCCCTGCTTCTGAAAATAAGCATGATAAAGACCCAATAATCCATGGTACAAATGACTTATATTCTCCTAGACTGTAGTTCTAGGTCCAGTGTTGAATAGAAAGTATCAGTATAATGAAAATCTGGAAACCTCAATAAGTGTACTCCTATTTTTTTGTTATAAGGAGTCACTCCTCCCACCCCCTTCTATCACTCCCTATGGATTGTCATTATGTTCATGAGCTGGTCATGTAGAAAGAGTAAATGCCTGGGTGTCCTTAGGCCTGTGTACAGTCTCTGTCCATGGTCTCAGGTCTTCTGGGCTCTCCAGAACTCCCATATTAGCTTGTACCTTTGTAAGTTTATCACCAAAAATCTTTTTTCCGGGTAGAATGGGAAGGTTTCTTGTGGGTGATCAACTCTGAGAGCAGACGATGGTGGGTCAGTGGTATGAAGAAAAAAACCTTACTGATGCTCAGGAATGATAGGAATAGATTTTTCCCTGGGGAAGAATAAGGAGTTGGGATGCCTTTATGGAGGTAGTGACTTTTGAACTGAGATGTGAAGGAGCTCTAAAGATGCAGGAAAGGGAAGAAAAGGATATGTCTCCAAGGTTACAGCATGAATAAATGCAAAATATTCAACTACAGTGATAGTACTAATAACAATGATAGTAACATCTCATCTTTAGAATAAGTGGATGAACTTTTAAAAGCACTTAATGCATATTAGCTCATTTCATCCTCATAACAGTGCTATACTATAGGTATATTACTATTCTCATTTTAGATGGGAAAACTCAGGCAAGGAGAGGCTAGGAAACTTGCCCAAGGCACAGAATTCAAACCTGATTTTTTTCCAGAGTTTGTGATGTAACCATGACTCAACATTATTCTGGAGGCCATTTTTTTTTTTTTTGCACTGTACAACTATAGAAAAACTTTAAAGTCCTTTCTATTTTCAAAATTCCACGATTCTATACATCTAAGCTCCTTTACTCCCAGCCCCAGCCATCACTGGGACCGTGTAAGGTGGGGGTTTTTTCTGTTTTCTGCCGACTTCAACTCCTACATAATCCCTAGAGCTGTGGGACTATATCTATACCTACCCATCTGATACCTATCAGTCTTTGTACTTGTCTTCATTAAGTTATAGTTTGATAGGATTTAAGTTATCTATCTGGGATAGATAGATATCTTTCTATCAGGAAAATAATTTTCATGGGTTTTCTGAAAATAACGTATGCCACTGGTCGAAAATTCAATTTGAAAAATGTAAAGATTGTAAAAAAAAAAATCGCTTGAAATTTCATCACCAAAGGTGCTGAGCACCTTTCCAGACATCTGTAAGAACAGTTATATAAATATATAATTTTATATAAATTTGATTATTCTGCATATAATATGCATATTTTTTTTTTACCACCGATAGAGTATGGCCATCTTTCCATATCAATAACTATAGATATATTAAAAACTATTTAAAATTCTACTTATGTATCCACCATACTTTAGTTAATAAATCATCTTTGATTTTAATTTTCTTTTTAGAATAACTTCCCAAGACTAGAATTTGGGGTTTTCAAGGGCCTATTCAGTATTTCTTACCAATAGGAAATACAAGTATAGTTTTTGATGTATGTAAAGAGTTTTAAGCAAGTCTCCATGTCTCATAACATCTCAGACAAGAAGCGGGTAACTTGGAACTCTCCTTGGAAGTGATGAGGAAGGTATTTGGAGAGGAGCACTCTGTTCTGAACGATATAGTCTTCAAGAGAAACCCAAAGTTAAACTAACAAATACATGCTTAATATATTAAGTATGCTTTGTTTCCAAACTGCTGTACTAAACTCATGTTGAATTGCTTTTTCCTTCAAAGCTCTTATGGATATAAAAGTGATATTTGTCCAAGTGATAATTCTACAAGAGGAAATCATACTTTGTGCTCCTTTCTTCCTCCAACAATAACAAACCCAGATAATTACACCATTCAAGTGGAAGCTCAAAATGCAGATGGTATAATTAAATCTGATATAACACATTGGAGCTTAGATGCTATAAGTAAGTATTATTTTTTATTCTTATATACTCTTTTATTAAAAGATACCCCCTTTTTTTTTTCTTGAAAGAGATACAGACACAAAAGTAGACTCAAAGCTTAAGGATATAGTACATATGTGTCATGAATATACCAAGGGTTATGAGTATGCATAAGAGTTCATTATTCTCCACATCTTTACCCATGCTTACTGTTTGTTGTCTTTTTGTTACTAGCCATTGTGATTGGTATGAGGTAATATCTCATTGTGGTTTTCTCTGATTATTAGTGATGTTGAGCATCTCTACATGTACCTCTTAGCTATCTATTTGTCTTTGGAAAATGTCTATTCAGGTCCTCTGTCCATTTTAAAATTCAGACTGTGATTTTCTTGGTGTTGAATTGTATGAGTTCTTTATATATTTTGGATTTTAACCCCTTATTGAATATATCATTTGCAGATACCTTCTCCCATTCAGTAAATTTCCTTTTCATTTTGCTGATGATTTCCTTCACTGTGCAAAAGCTTTTTATTTTGATGAGGTCCCAATAGTGTATTTTTGCTTTTGTTTTACTTGCCTGAGGAGACCTATCCAAAAAAATGTTTCTAAGGCTGATGTCAAAGAGATTGCTGACTATATTTTCTTTAGGAGTTTTATGGTTTCAGGCCTCACATTTAAGTTTTTAATCCATTTTGAGCTTATTTTTGTACATGGTTTGAGAAAGTGATTCATTTTCATTCTTTTACATAAAACTGTCAAGTTTTCTCAACACCATTTATTGAAGAGACTCTTTTATCCCCATTGTATATTCTTGCCTCCTTTGTCTTATATTAATTGATGATATAAGTTTATGCTTATTTCTGGACTCTCAGTCCTGTTCCACTGATCTTTGTGTCTATTTTTATGTCAGCACAGCTTGAAATCTTGGATTGTGATACCTTCAGCTTTATTTTTGTTTCTCAAGATTACTTTCATTATTTGGGGTCTTTTGTGGTTCCATACACATTTTAGTATTATTATCTTTTTAATTCTGGAATCTGTAAATTGCTTTGGGTGGTGTAGACATTTACAAATTTTTAGTTCTTGGGGCGCCTGGGTGGCTGGGTTGAGCATCCGACTTCAACTCAGGTCTTAATCTCATGGTCTGTGAGTTCAAGCCCCGTGTCAGGCTCTGTGCTAACAGCTCAGAGCCTAGAGCCTGGAGGCTGTATCAGATTCTTTGTCTCCCTCTGCCTCTGCCCCTCTCTCACTCATGCTCTGTCTCTCTCTCTCTCCCTGTCAAAAATAAATAAACATAAAAAAAATTTTTTTTAATTTTTAATTCTTCCAATCCATGAGCATGGTGTATATCTTTTCATTTGTTTGTGTTATCTCAATTTCTTTTATTAATGTCTTATAGTTTTCAGAGTACAGGTCTTTCATGTCCTTGTTTAAATTTATTCCTAGGCATTTTATTCTTATTGATGCAAGTGTATTTCCTCCTTCATTACTCGTGTATAGAAATGCAACAGATTTCTGTATATTAATTTTATATCCTACAACCTTATTGAAGTCATTGTTTAGAAGAATTTTTAATGCAAGTGGGTATACGCTGATTGCACAGTGTGATTTAAAAAGATGAAAGTTTTATTTAGCATAATAGAAAATTTGCTTAAAAATATACAAATACTTACATAGAAAAAAGCCTGGAAATACACCAGAAAGTTATGGCTATCTCTGAGGTTGATGGCATTATGGATGATTTAAAGTTTTTCTTTGTATTTTTCTATATTAAAAAGATTTTTTTAGAATGAGCATATACTACTTTTAAAACCAGAAAAAAAATTGCATATCTTCAGAGAGAGAGACTTAGGATGAGAATGTTTGTAGTATTCAAGGAAAATGAAAGATGCTTTCTACTGGACACTTCTGGGTTGAGGGGAGTGTAGAGTAGATAAGGTAAACAGCCCATTTTCTGGTTGTTTTACCTCCTTTCTCCTTGGCGTAAGATCTGACCCATTTAGTAAAATGTATATTTGTGGAAAAATCGTAGGAATCTATCCTCTCCTCAGAGGCCATCCCTTTTTTTGGTGGGGGTGAGACGGTGGGAGAAGTGGGGATGGCAGCATTCCTTTTGCACTGCCTTCCTAATGCCATCTGCATATAGCAGATTACAAAATAAGCCCTACCATTTCATTTCTACTTTTCTTTTTTTTTTTAATTTATTTTTATTTTTTATTATTTATTTTTGAGAGAGAGTGCGAGTTAGGGAAGAGCACGGGGGTGGGGGAGGGGGACACAGAATCTGAAGCAGGCTCCAGGCTCTGAGCTGTCAGCACAGTCTGATGCAGGTTCTCCAACCTGCGAACCACAAGATAATGACCTGAGCCAAAGTCGGACGCTTAACCGACTGAATCACCCAGGTACCCCTCTACTTTGCCTTTTTCCAGTTTTAGGTGGATGCTATTAACATCTTCTGATCTTTTTGCAAATATGAGAAATTTAGGATTTTTATTTTCAGCGAAAATTGAACCACCTGAGATTTTCAGTGTGAAACCAGTTTTGGGCGTCAAACGAATGGTTCAAATAAAATGGATACGGCCTGTGTTGGCTCCTGTTTCGTCTACTTTAAAATACACACTTCGATTCAAAACAGTAAATAGTGCCTACTGGGTAAGTATCCTATTACAATGTTTCTATTAGAGGGCCCAAAGAAAAGAATTATTGATAACTTTTTTTTTTTTTAACTGGGAATCTTTTTTTTTTTCAATTTTCTACCTTAAAAATAGAAGACAGATAATAATGAGTACTTTTCTTCCTAGTTTCTCATTAGGGCCTTTTGGATTGGACAAGTATTTCACTCTAGGCATCTTGCATTCAAAACACAGGGACATATTAAAGAGTGAGAAGTTTACTTTTGCATTCCACTCTGGTTTGTGTATAGCTATGTCAATGGCTGAGATTCTGTGGCTTGTCCATTTCCTTTTTTATTTTTCCAACTCTTTATGAAATTGTGATATATAACTTGTATTTAGAAAAATGAACAAATCATAGCTGTTGTATTTAATAAATTATTATTAAGTTAGCACTCATGTTAAAACCAGTGAGGTCAAAAAAAGCATGCCAAGGTCCCCTGCTTATCCTTTCCGATGACAACCCCCACACTGCCTTAGAGCTGTTATCTTGATTTTCACGGTAAATGCTTCTTTGGTTTTTATTACGGGTTTACCGTTTAAACCTGCATCTCTGGGGCGCCTGTGTGGCGCAGTCGGTTAATCGTCCGACTTCAGCCAGGTCACGATCTCGCGGTCCGTGAGTTCGAGCCCCGCGTCAGGCTCTGGGCTGATGGCTCAGAGCCTGGAGCCTGTTTCCGATTCTGTGTCTCCCTCTCTCTCTGCCCCTCCCCCGTTCATGCTCTGTCTCTCTCTGTCCCAAAAATAAATAAACGTTGGAAAAAAAAAAAAATAAACCTGCACCTCTGAACAACACAGTTTGACACATTATGTAATAGAAATCCTTACATTTTGTATTTTTTAAAAAATATTTGACTTCCTTCAGTATTGTACTCTTAAGATTCATCTATGTTATGTAATGCTGGAATTTATACATTTTAATTGTTTTATAGTATTCCATTGTGTACTAATTAATTTGCATTTACCTGACTTTTAATTGCATTAATTTATTGCATTAATTAATTTAATTTGCATTTACCTGACTTTTAATGAGGTTGTATACCTTTTTATGTGTTTTTTGGCTATTTGGAGTTCTTTGTGAAATGTTGATTTAAGCCTTTTGCACATTTTTTCTAATGGGTGGTCTGAGTTTTAAATTGACTTGTAGGAGTTTCTTATACATTTTATTTATGAGTTTTTTAAATCTGCTATGTGTGTTACAGACATTTATCACTATGTGGTTTGCCATTTCACTGTCTTAATGGTGACTTTGGAGGAGCATAACTTCTTAATTTTTAACATTTTTAACAATTTTCAACAATCCTTTCTTACTTCAAAGTTCAGAGGATATTCTTCTATTTCCATCAATGCAACCTGAAATTATATCAACCTTTTTTTGGTAACTACTATATATATATTTTTAATGTTTATTTATTTTTGAGAGAGAGAGATAGAGAGAGAGGGTGAAGGAGGGACAGAGAGAGAGGGAGACACAGATTCCAAAGCAGGCTCTAAGCCCTGACCTGACAGCACAGAGCCTGATGTGGGACCTGAATGCATGAACCATGAGATCATGACCTGAGCCAAAGTCGGAAGCTTAACCGACTGAGCCACCCAGGTGCCCCTGTAAACACTACATATTGTTGACTCTTAATCAGATCCTAGCCAATTAAATCAGTTAAACCTTTAATATTTTTTTCCCACACACAAGATTTTCTAGTAAAACACATGTCCACTGTCTTAAAGTTTATTGGTTTTTAAGATAAGTGGAGGCATTATCAGCATTTCAGCCCATTTAGAATCTTTATTTTACCACCAAAACTTACAGTTAACTTTTAACTTTCTGACTTTTCAATATCCTCAGATTTTATAACTCTTAACTTGTATACCTTTATCAAATCATTAATAAAAATAGTAACTATGTCAGAGCCCTGTGGTAAACCATTAGAGACTATTCAGAGATATCAACCTTTTTTTCTCTGAGTGTGGTCATTTACTTATGTTTCTGTGAATATGCATAATAACTGTCATAATCATTCAGCCTACTCTTACTGTCTTGACCATGACACTATTACTAGACTTTGCTGAAATTCATAGATACTTTATTGCATTCTCTCCTAGTCTAGAGCTCTTTCAGAAAAGAAAATTGGTAAAGTTTCACTTATTACATGTTTAAGATAAGAGAAATAATGATGTCCACTCTTCCTCTCAGCTTCTTTTCTAAGCCAGCTCTGGAACCATTCTCCTAGTACCTGCCTACATGTACCACAAGACTAATTAATTTGTAGTTTCTGGAACCCAGAACAGAATACCTAAGCAAGGAAGTTCCTGGTACAACATAAGTCCATCTTCCTTCACATCACCAGTTATGGTCTAAGTAAACCTGAGGAATTGCTAGGAATTGGTACTGTCTAGCGATCCTTGATTTACCCTGTTTGTCTGAGCCCAGAGTCCTCTGGCCATTGAGATAGGATTCAATAAGAAAAATAAACCAGGATTTCTGTTCCTCTGGAAAATGAGCAAGCCATGTAGAACACTAAGTGAGGGAAGCACGTGTAAATTACCCCAGATTTCAGCATCCTGTACCCACCTCTTTGAGAAACTCACCTGCATCTGCCCTCATGTTTGCATTATTCCTTCCAGTCCTTGAGCTAAGAGGTCATTTCTCCTGCTCTGCTGAAGGAAGTGAGAAGGCAAGTGGAATGTGCAGTCAGTATCTCCCTCCTTTGAGCATTCAAACACAATAATTTTTAAACTCAATTATACCAACCCAATTTTTCTATGGAAAAAGGTCCAAATCCTTAATCCTCCAACACTTGAACCCTATCAACCCCTCCAACCTCATTTTTCATCCTGCCCTTGGTTCTCTACTAACTAGTTGTGGATTGCTACTTTCCCTTGTGTCATGTTGTTTCACTATTCTGTGTCTTTGCTTTTGTACCTCTACTCCCTCACCAAACTTCCTTAAACCTGTTCATGTCTCAGAACTCAGTTCTGACATATTTCCTTCTGAGCACCTGAACTAGGTGCTCCTCCTCCATCACCACACTTAACACTCAGCACAGTCATTTAAAGTCCTATCTCCCTGCATTAGACTGTAAAAAAGTCCCAATATGTCCATATAGCAGGACTTACGTTTATATAATGCTGTGTGTATTGCAAAGTGCTTTCTTACACTCCAGACTATTTAATCTTTGCATATATCTATAAATGAGGCATCACTATTATTATTTTTACAGATTAGGAAATCATGATGTACAGAGCTTAAATCACCTAAGATCCCAGGGTTTGTAAGTTGCAAACCTGAGCCCAAGTTTTCTGACTCCAAGTTGCCATTCATTTGACCATATTTTAGCAACCTCCAGACCATCTTCCTGTTGCCTAGTCTAAGGAGTTTCTGCCTTTAAAAATAGAGCTACGTGAGAACTCTGCCAAAGAATCTCAAGAAGGTTTTAAAAGTTTGATTTAGGCTTTGCACCAACACTTCTGACTCATCTCTTAAAACATAAACACTTTGGGCGAGCTAGGATTTGGCACAAAGTATAGGTTGTTAGAAATAAACCCGATGAAGTTAATTAGTGTTTTGTTAGGAGTCCTTTGTGTTGAGCTGGGGAAATCTTAGTTGAGTCTATATATGGAGGATCAGTTGGTCCTGGACTGTATGAGGGCCACAGGTACTTGCCTGGACAAAAAGCCAAACTGAAAGAAGCCTTTCAGGCAGATACATAGTTTGAAAGGCTGAGCAGCTTTTTTCCCACCTATGGGAAAGGACTGTAAAGAACATGCTTGGCTAGTTACATTAGGCAAAGCTTACTGAACATGAATGTGAAGAGCCCCAGCTTGTAGACCAAGCATGTGCTTGATGGTACTCGCAAAGCAGGAAGAAAATTTTGAAAGATTGTTATAAAAGAATATTACATATTTAAAAGAGCTTAAAAGGACAACAAAACTTTATTAGACTTCTTTGTGGATTAATATAGTTTTATTTTGATTTGTGTATAGAAGATACCATGTGGTTGTCTGTCTTATAAAGGTCTTAATATCGCCCCAAATGAGCCCCATAACTAAGCTAAGTTGGGGAAGGCTACTTTCTCTGAGATGTGGGATTGTCCCAGTGACCCTATTCTGCCATTACAACATCTCCAGGGGCTGTTAGAGGTGGGCGCTCAGGGAACTTTGGATTCAACAGTGAAACTGCCCTTGCCTCTGGTTCCTACATCCTTTTCCCAACACCATCTTCCTAGATTCAGAGTTTAGAAGTTTCCATCTGCGGCTGAGATGCTCAGGTTTTTGCTACATACATACATTCTCATTTTGTTCAATTTCCCTTAGGCCCACGACCTGTAGTTATGTAGTTATTTTCACAGCTGTTATATATACTTTCTTCTCTCACAGGGTTTTATGGGACTAGTGTGCATATTCACAAAATAGACATGCCTATTAGTGCAGTTTATTAATCAACTCAATGTAAGTTCATATAAACCAACAGCTAAAAGTTCATCTTGCAGCAACAGTGACCATGCTCAAAAATAAATAGCTGAATTTTTAGTGTCTCTTGGAGAGTTGGGTCCAAAAGGGGCTTGAGAGATTATATAAAGCAGTGTGCTCATTTTACTAATGAGGAAACTGAAGTCTAGAAAGGAGAAGTGATTTATTTACCTCTCCCCCTCCACTTCCCCACAGAATGTCAAAATGAATTTATGCATCCAGGCTGCTGAGATCCTTAGCAGCCCTACTGGTTACCTAAAGACCAATAGTTGCAATGGAAGATTTGGGTAAAGGGGAAGTATGTAGGAGTTAGGAATGCTGTATTCTGATCCCAGTTATGCCTATAACAAACACTGAAGTAGTCCACAGTCACTTAACTTTTGGGCTCTTGTCCATGACATGAGATTGAACTTAATGCCACTGAGGTCTTTGTTAGTTACTGTTCTATGAGGCCTTATATCTAGGTATTGGAGTCACCTGCAGTATTTACACTGAGGCCCAGGTTGCCTTCAGTCCCATGACTCCACCTTGTATTTTCCAGAATAAGACTTTGCACACTCACATCAGCCAGGATGGGGTGGGGGGTGGGTGTGTGGGCATGAATCTCTGCCTTACAAGCTTAGAGACAGGAAATGGGGAGGGTGGTGGTTCATGGGGTGACTCACATCTGTTTAGGTGCAAGTGATCCCCAGGCATGTGTGAGGTTTATCTATGAAAATGATATTTTTTGCAACCTGAGATATAATGCTTCAAGTTCCAAAAATGTAAGAGAGAGTTGGGGCGTGAAGAAGAAAAATGGAAAGATAACAGGTGATCTCCCATCCAGCTCAGAGTCATCTTTGTCTTTTAGATGGAAGTCAACTTCACCAAAGAAGATATTGATAGAGATGAAACCTACAACCTCACAGGACTGCAGGCCTTTACAGAGTATGTTATAGCTCTGCGATGTGCCACTAAGGAGTCCATGTTCTGGAGTGGTTGGAGCCAAGAAAAAATGGGAACAACTGAGGAAGAAGGCAAGCTGGTCCCTTGCAATTCCTTTTCTGCCTGCTCTGGTATAAGGTGGCCTGGGCCTAGCCTTAGTGGGTTTTGTCCAGTGTTGTACTTGGAAATCATGGAATCTCACAGTCCTAGAGCATGGAGAATCTGTATGTTCCCTCTCTATAAGGCACTTACCTGAGCCCACAGGATAAACCAGCCCTCCTCAGATGGGCTGAGTTAGCATCTTTTTGCCCCAAAGGCAAAAGATCACATCTTTACTACTCTTATTAAGTTCTTATATTATACATGAAACAGCATAATACTATTTAAAGGTATCTTATACATTAAAGATATATATTGTAAACCCTGCAGCCACCACTAAAAAATTAAAAAAGGTTTAATTACTGAGGGAAAAAAAGGTCAGATTCTTAATGACAGTGAGAGAGAAAGAGAAAGGGACTATACAGTGAATGAGTGCTTACCATGAGTCAGGATGGTCATTCAGAACAGTACTTTAAATCTATAGGCTTGGCTTAGATTCCAGCCTGGCTCTGGAGTGATTTGGGGCTAGATAACTAATGTCTAAGCCTCAGTTTTCTCAATATTTTTTTTGTATACAAATGTTCATAGCAGTTTTATTTAAAATAATTAAAAAAATAACGGAAAGGTCCATCAACTAGTTAAAGAATAAACAAACTATGGTATAACCATACAAGGCAATACAATTAAACAATAAAAAAGGAACAAACTAATGATACATGCAACAACATGAATATCTCAGAAGCATTATGTTAAGTAAAAGAAACTGGACACAAAAGACTAAATATGATTTTCAATTTATTGGAAATTCTAGAAAAGGCAAAAATAGTGACAAATAGCAGATGAATGGTTGTCAATGGGTAGGAATAGAGGCAGGGGACTGACTGCAAAGGGGAACAGTTTCCTCAATATTTATCCCCTTTTCCATAATGGAATATCTTTTATAAATTTGAGTTAAAAGCAGTACCTACATTTTAGTGTTACTTTAAAAATGAAATAATCTATTTAGCTCATAGTAAACATTCAATAAATGCCAAGTTATCTACTATTTTTATTAACTCTTCCAAGAGCCCTATAAGATATGTGGAATCACCCCCATTTGGAAGTGAAGGAGCCAAGTTTCAGAAATATTAGTAAATCACTTAAGGTTACTCAGCATGTGTTACCATTCTTTATAAATCAAGAATCTTTCCCAGTGCCTGTTCTGTAGTAGATAGTCAATAAATGTCTGATGAATGTATCAGTTTCCTTTGGCCACTGTGACAAATTATCACAAATTTAGTGACTTACAACACAGTTTTTTCTTTTTTTTTTAATTTTCTTTTTTCTTTTTATTTTTTTTGTTATATGAAATTTATGGTCAAATTAGTTTCCATACAACACCCAGTGCTCATCCCAAAGATGCCCTCTTCAATGCCCATCCCTCCCTCCACCCCCCATCAACCCTCAGTTTGTTTTCAGTTTTTAAGAGTCTCTTATGCTTTGGCTCTCTCTCCCACTCTAACCTCTTTTTTCTTTTTTTTCCTTCCCCTCCCCCATGGGTTTCTGTTAAGTTTATCAGGATCCACATAAGAGTGAAATCATATGGTATCTGTCTTTCTCTGTATGGCTTATTTCACTTAGCATAACACTCTCCAGTTCCATCCACATTGCTACAAAGGGCCATATTTCATTCTTTCTCATTGCCCTGTAGTACTCCATTGTGTATATAAACCACAATTTCTTTATCCATTCATCAGTTGATGGACATTTAGGCTTTTTCCACAATTTGGCTATTGTTGAGAGTGCTGCTATAAACATTGGGGTACAAGTGCCCCTATGCATCAGTACTCCTGTATCTCTTGGGTAATTCCTAGCAGTGCTATTGCTGGGTCATAGGGTAGGTCTATTTTTAATTTTTTGAGGAACCTCCACACTGTTTTCCAGAGTGGCTGCACTAGTTTGCATTCCCACCAACAGTGCAAGAGGGTTCCCGTTTCTCCACATCGTCTCCAGCATCTATAGTCTCCTGATTTGTTCATTTTGGCCACTCTGACTGGCGTGAGGTGATATCTGAGTGTGGTTTTGATTTGTATTTCCCTGATAAGGAGTGATGTTGAGCATCTTTTCATGTGCCTGTTGGCCACCTGCATGTCTTCTTTAGAGAAGTGTCTATTCATGTTTTCTGCCCATTTCTTCACTGGATTATGTGTTTTTCGGGTGTGGAGTTTGGTGAGCTCTTTATAGATTTTGGATACTAGCCCTTTGTCTGATATGTCATTTGCAAATATCTTTTCCCATTCCGTTGGTTGCCTTTTAGTTTTGTTGATTGTTTCCTTTGCTGTGCAGAAGCTCTTTATCTTCATGAGGTCCCAATAGTTCATTTTTGCTTTTAATTCCCTTGTTTTGGGGGATGTGTCAAGTAAGAAATTGCTACGGCTGAGGTCAGAGAGGTTTTTTCCTGCTTTCTCCTCTAGGGTTTTGATGGTTTCCTGTCTCACATTCAAGTCCTTTATCCATTTTGAATTTATTTCTGTGAGTGGTGTAAGAAAGTGGTCTAGTTTCATTCTTCTGCATGTTGCTGTCCAGTTCTCCCAGCACCATTTGTTAAAGAGACTGTCTTTTTTCCATTGGATGTTCTTTCCTGCTTTGTCAAAGATGAGTTGGCCATACATTTGTGGGTCCAATTCTGGGGTCTCTACTGTATTCCATTGGTCTATGTGTCTGTTTTTGTGCCAATACCAAGCTGTCTTGATGATAACAGCTTTGTAGTAGAGGCTAAAGTCTGGGATTGTGATGCCTCCTGCTTTGGTCTTCTTCTTCAAAATTACTTTGGCTATTCGGGGCCTGTTGTGGTTCCATATGAGTTTTAGGATTGCTTGTTCTAGCTTCGGGAAGAATGCTGCTGCAATTTTGATTGGGATTGCATTGAATGTGTAGATAGCTTTGGGTAGTATTGACATTTTAACAATATTTATTCTTCCAACCCATGAGCACGGAATGTTTTTCCATTTCTTTATATCTTCTTCATTTTCCTTCATAAGCTTTCTACAGTTTTCAGCGTACAGATCTTGTACATCTTTGGTAAGATTTATTCCTAGGTATTTTATGCTTCTTGGTGCAGTTGTGAATGGGATCAGTTTCTTTATTTGTCTTTCTGTTGCTTCATTATTAGTGTATAAGAATGCAACTGATTTCTGTACATTGATTTTGTATCCTGAAACTTTGCTGAATTCATGTATCAGTTCTAGCAGACTTTTGGTGGAGTCTGTCGGATTTTCCATGTATAATGTCATCTGCAAAAAGTGAAAGCTTGACTTCATCTTTGCAAATTTTGATGCCTTTGATTTCTTTTTGTTGTCTAATTGCTGATGCTAGCACTTCTAACACTATGTTAAACAACAGTGGTGAGAGTGAACATCCCTTTTGTGTTCCTGATCTCAGAGCGAAAGCTCTCAGTTTTTCCCCATTGAGGATGATATTAGCTGTGGGCTTTTCATAAATGGATTTTATGATGTTTAAGTATGTTCCTTCTACCCCGACTTTCTCGAGGGCTTTTATTAAGAAAGGATGCTGAATTTTGTCAAATGCTTTTTCTGCATCGATTGACAGGAGCATATGGTTCTTTTCTTTTATTAATGTGATGTATCACATTGATTGATTTGTGAATGTTGAACCAGTCCTGCAGTCCAGGAATGAATCCCACTTGATCATGGTGAATAATTCTTTTTATATGCTGTTGAATTCGATTTGCTAGTATCTTACTGAGAATTTTTGCATCCATATTGATCAGGGATATTGGCCTGTAGTTCTCTTTTTTTACTGGGTGTCTGTCTGGTTTAACATAGTTTTTTCTATTATAGTTCTGGAAGTCAGAGGTCCAGGAGTCAAGGTGTGGGCAGGGTTATTTCCTTTTGGAGACTCTGAGGGTATTATGTTTTCTTACCATTTCCAACTTCTCATGGTTACCTGTATTCCTTGGCTGATGACCCCTTCCCCCATATTGAACATCAGTCTAATGTCTGCTTCCATCATCACATTACTTTTTTCTCCCTTTTTGTATTAAGTCTCTGCCTCTTTCTTCTAATGACCTTCATGAAAACATTTAGGGCCAACTCGGATAATTCAGAATAATCTTCCCAACTCAAGATGCCAACTTAATCATATCTGAAAGTCCCTTTGGCTATATAAGGTAACATTTACAAACTGCAGGGTTTAGGACTTAAGTCTTTGGGGCCCATTTTTCAGTCTGACGCAATGAATGATGAATGAATGGATGAATGAATGACTAGATGAATATTTGGTGATGGTCACACATCTTTTGAAATAAGGAGATTAAATGCAAAATTCTGATCCTTCTAAAACTTTCTGAGGCTTTACTCTCATTTGTATGTAAGACACATGGGGTTCTAGCCCATACATTTCCCAAAACCACACACCCGACCATGATTTCAGGCCCTTCTTCTTCTCCTTTACAGCCAAGTACCACACTGGTATCAGGTAACATCTGCAGTCAATTTCTATGTTCTCTGGTTCATATGACAACAGCTTATTCCTGTGGATCTTGGTTGAGTTTCCTACGAGACCAAGTTGGTATTAATAGATGTTTAGCACTTTCACAGATATGGTCAGATGTCTGGAAATAATCCCATGTTCTGAATTTTGTAGCCCCGCCTGAAGATGTTCATGCTTAGTCTGAACTACCCCTTGGTGGATGTGGTTACAATACAGGGGTTCATGCAGTACATAGTAAATTGTACTAGATGACTTCTGAAAGCTCTTGTCACCCTAAGATTCCATTCTTCTATGCTATTCAGGCATCTAGTCTTCTATGCCAGGCTCTAGCAGTAAAGAAAAAGTCATAGAAAATCCCAAGTCATATGTCTTTAAGTACTTAGAATAGCACCTTACAAATGGTAAGGGCTCAATAAATCCTACATAAATAAGAATGCAAACATGACTGAAACAAGTCAGGTTGTGGATCTAGTGTAACTTTTGGTTAAAATTACATACAATATTTGGCAACACATTTACACTCTACAACATCACCTCAGAGTGTCAAATGAATACAAATAGAACAGTTTACAAATATCAAACAGCGTGTAAATTGCACAGCAAAAAATGGCCCATTGCTTATAATCACTGGGACTACTCAGTTGTTGTCTTAACTGGGCTCTCCCTTTTAAAAAATTCAAATGCAATGCATGCACTGTCTTTGAGCAAAAGATCCTCTGCCTTTGCTACACCTTTTGGCAGGTGGTCTGGGGGATTAAGTTCCACTTCAGGTGTAATCATGTTTTGCACTGCCCTTCTCCTCTTTGTAGCTGGTAGTCTTCTTTCCAGTGACCTCCTGGTACCATTATGGCTCGTGTCTTAATTTAACTCATGACAGCCCAGCCAACTCTCTAATGTCCATTTTATCCACTTGTTTTGCTGCCAGAAACAAGATTGACCATTTCAGCTGATGTATTATTTCGGCTAGTTTGGCTATTATTAATTAGCAGAACACTAGATGCTGGTGTTCTCTGCCTTTGGCTAATTGAATCAAACCAACACTTATAAATCAGTCATCACTATAGAACTTTTACTTTTGTTTTTCTTCATTTTTAAAGGATCCTAGAGAAAATTGATGAAATGTACAACCCAGCCCCCAGCAAATACTAATTTCTACTACATGCCACAGATGTAGTTATATTTTGATCCTGACTTTATTTCCTAAAAGTTTGTAACACTGCCCAGTTAGAAGCTTCGCTTCTCTGTATTTCAGAAATGGAGATAATAATACTGCTGTACCTAATTATAGGGCTTTAGAGATTAAATGAGATAATTCAGGTAAAATGCTTAGTATAGTGACACTTGCTAAAAGTTAACTCTTCTGTTTCTTTAAAAGTTTATTTATTTTGATTGGAGGGGGGAAGAGCAGGGAGAGGGAGAGAGAGAATCCCAAATAGGGGATTCTACACTGTCAACACAAAGCCCAACTTGGGCTAGATCTTTTTAGATCATCATTTGAGCCAAAATCAAGAGTCAGGAGTTTGACTGAATCACCCAGGTGCCCCAAAAGTTAAACATTCTTATTGTTGGTCTTCAGCAAGGCACCAGTAAGAATGTGAAGTGTCTAACTGGTGGTGGTTGTAGGTATTATCAGATTGTAATGGAAACAACATAGCATCAAGTTGTTGCTAATGGGTCCAAAGAATTGATGTCTTTGAATATGTAGATATTTTTATGGATTTGGAAAAATTTAATTTTGCTCTTTTGTGAATACAGAATTACTACTTTTTTAAAAATTGATTTATTTATTTTGAGAGAGAGGAACCACAATCAGGGGAAGGGCAGAGAGAGAGGGAGACAGACAGAATCCCAAGCAGGCCCTGTGCTCTCAGCATGGGCCATATTGTGGAGCTCAAACTCACGAGCCTTGAGATCATGACCTGAGCTGAAACCAAGAGTTGGACACTTAATCAACTGAGCCACCCAGGTACCCCCAGAACTATCACTTTTCTAACTTTGATTATACTGCAAGTCCATTACTAGCTCATGGTGAACAGAAACTTGGCTGTTAATTGCAGAAGATATACATGCTACTTAGGTAGTGGTTTTACTAAAAGCTGCATCTGTGGGAAATCTATATTAGTAAGACTGTTCCTCTTTGAACTTTATCTGCAGGAAATAGTGGCCTCAGTGAAAGGAGAAAATGCCTAATTAAATTCATTTACTATCACTTCGTACTACAACTAAATCTAAACTAAATGGGATAAATCTAAGGAGAATTTCACTCATATTTCTAACCAAGTGTCTGGAATGATTGGTTATTTAATAACCAGTTTATGGGGCTGTTGGTTGGCTCATTTGGTTAACTGACTCTGAACTTGAACTCTGCCTTTGCTGACATCTCATTGGCTTGTAGACAGGAGTAGTTGTAGAAATATGATTCTCCATTGGTGACAAGATTTAATTGCCCTTTGGATCATTTTTCTACATTACGGAGTTGTCTTCAGTTGGAGTTCAGTAATTTCACTTTAAGACACCCAATCACTTGAAGTGTGATTTCAGATACCTGAAAACAGTCTGTCAGCACTAAAATAGTTTCGATCTTAGCCTGAGTGGTTGACTCCATTCTCTGCAGACCTGCTTACAGTATCTTCAGCTATGTTATTCCTCAAGAAAAAATTCAGAGTTCATCAACTGCATGTTCAAGTAGAGACATTCCTTCTCCAGATTAGAGGCTTTGGTACAGTTCCTTACAATTCTCTGCTCTCTTCTCATGGCTAAAGTGTGTAGATCATTCTTAAATCAGACATTCAGCATTTTGAAATTATCCCTGTATGGTTAGATCATCCAAAGTTAATACACTTAAACTGTGTTGTCTTGGATTATGTTATTCACCACAGAAATGTATAAATCAGGTTTAACATTATGCCCTTGCATTTTATAGAAGATAAATATAAGGTACACATGCCATATTTCTGTACTTTTGCTCAACTCCGATTGCAGACGTTGGCCTTTAGGTTACCCTATATCTTTTTAAGAGGATCCATATGATAAATTCCATTTATTAATTCAGTACGCATAATCAGAAATAGTTACCCCTTCATATGTTTGCTTTTTAATAGGCTATGAGAAATATACAATTCAATATGATCTTTTTTCCTTCTTCTGCCATGAAGATCATTCAGTTTAAAGCTCAAGTGAACTAGTGAAGATGATTTCTCTGTCCCTTTATTCTTTAATTCTTTCTTAGATTTTATAACATTTTAAGTATACAGTTTCATCCTTTTTGGGAGAAGATCTTTTGTGCTCTGTCTCTCTCATCCCCACTCCCATATAGTATATATAATAGTGTATATAATATAATAACATATCTCTATGTATCTCCTTTAAAAAATTGTTTTTAAAGTGTATTGATTTTTGGAGAGACAGAGACAGTGGGGGAAGGGAAGAGAGAGAGGGCGAGAGGGAGAGAGAGAATCCCAAGCCGACTCCCCATTGCCAGTGCAGAGCCTGATGCGGGACTCTCAAGAAACCATGAGATCGTGACCTGAGCCAAAACTGAGAGTCACAGCCGACTGAGTCATCCAGGTGCCCCTATGTATCTATCTCCTTGTCAGTTATCTGTGTCATTCCCAGCTGTAAGGTATGTAGACGTTATATATGATAGGACATGAGATGTTACATTTCAACCTGGATTTCAATGACAAATAATATTATAATAGGGTCTATTGTACTTTTCTTTTGCCTTACATTAAGTCATCAGATCCAAGAGCAGTTTAAATTTTTACTTTTAGTTGATGCCACTCCTTTGGCCACAAAATGAAGACAGCATTGGTTGTTGCAATGCTGCTCCACCGAACACCTTCCCCCTAATGGCTCCCTCCAGCAAATGCTTCCTAACTGCATTTTTAACAGACAGCCCAGCTAATCTCACCATTTTCAGTTGCAGCTTCCTTCCATCTTGTGTTGAGTACCTCACTCTTGTTTCCTTACAGCTCCACATGGCTTGGATCTGTGGAGAGTCCTGAGACCCGCCACAGTAGATGGAAGAAGGCTAGTGCAGTTGATGTGGAAGGTGATTTCCTTATGTTGTTTTTTCTGTCTCAAACCCTTGGTCTCTTATACCTCCAAGAAGAGTAATTCTTCAACTTTTACCACCTGAATTTCCTTTCCTAGAGGCTTTATAATGCCTCACATCTCACAATGGTTTCCCAGCTCACAAAGCCTTCTAGGTTATCTTACAGATGGCCTAAATGTGAATTGCAGACCCTGCATCCTCTCTTCCTTGGACTGAAACATTAACATATAAGACAGGTACAAAGTGCAAGTGCAGAGGGCACCTTGACCTTCTGGGGACCCCACCTACCCCTGGCTAGCAGCATTAGAAGGCAGTGTAAAATTGCATAGCACCCACCCCCACATTGGAGAAGAACACTGATTTGGGATCAGCTCACTAATGTGTCCTGAGGTGATTGAAAACATATATTGCACATAGGGCAAGTAGGGTACACTGGGGTGCAAGGACAGAGCAGGGGCCAAATGGTCTTTCCTAGGATGGAGGCCTGGGATTGAGGACAAAAGGAGAAGGTGGAGGCAGCCTGCAGAGAAGAGGAGAAATAAAGAAGAGAGCAGGTAGGAAAAAGGACAGAAAAGGAGGGGAAAAGGGAATAAACAGGAAAGGAAAAGGGCAAATAGAAAAGAAAAATGCAGCCATGAACCAGGAGAGAAAAGACTGGGGAGTTAGTAGGGAGAAAAAAGAGAATAGAGCAGTGAAATATCAGAACTCTTTATTAGTGTCCAGAGTTCTCAGGGCATAAGTCATCATATTATTTCATGCTTGCTCAAGTCCAGGCAAGTTTAAAATACTTCTGAAAATGGAGAAACCACCTGCTTTACCAAATGATATTCTGATCCCAGTTATGTCAAGACTGGAGCATCCTTTACCTTACCTTGCTCCCTTCACACCCCAGGGCCATGGGCACCCTCGGGTTGTAGAGGCAACAGGCCAGGGAGGGCACAACCAGTGTCACTGGGAAATCTTTAAGAATCAATCCTAGATGTCGTGGTATCTTTCTCAGTGATTAAGTGTGGAAACAAATCACTCTGTCAACATGATTTTGGGGGAGGGAAAGCAAACAGTGGCCCATTTCCACATGTGGGCAGCCACATGTGTTGGGCCAAGTAGGCCAACATGTGAAATAGATGAAATGGACTTGAATGCTTTTCTCCTTCTCCTCCTCACCTGGAGACTGGTCTTTCTTTTGCCTCAGCAGGAGAGTCTTCTAAGAATTAAAGTTGGTTAGCAAAGATTGGTTAAAACTGAATGGTGGTGAAGATTGCACAACTCTGCAAATATACTAAAAAAAAACAACCCAAAAATCCTTAATTGCATACCTTAAAATAGTGAATTTTGTGTTATGTGAATTATATCTCAATAAAGCTGTTACTTAAAAAAGAGAATGAATTATCCCAAGAGGTAAAAGACTCCGAGTCATCAGGGAGTTTCTGACCTTTTATGTCATGGAAGCCTCTATGTCAGTTCCTGAACTGAAATGTCAGTGGGACAAAGTGACTTCTGAAGTCCTGTCTGACCTTACATTCAGTCATTCTACTCTATCTAGGTGTGTTATCAGTAACATAAAGTGAACAACTGAAAAGCCCTATAATTCCTGGGGAATACTCAGCGTGCTGATTCCTAGGCAAAATATATGGTTAGTAGGTTCAAGTTCAAGGCTGCAAATAAGAGTTTGGCTTAGAGCCCCTGGGGTCACCTTAGGCTTCTCACTACAGATTTAGGACCTAAATGTTTCAGGCCTCTTCGCTAGGATACCTGATGTGCCTGCCTGGTCTAGGGAAACTAGCTCCCTCCTCAAAGGAGGAGGCATGCTGCTTTTTATGCAGCAATATAAATACTTTCCAACCCTTGGAAGCTTCCAGACAAGAGATTACCCAGGGCCAGAACAGAATTGGGGTTCTTGGAGGGAATGCCTCAGATTTTTAATTTATACTGTCCTGTGCCTGCGAGACAGAAAGAAAGATAAGCATCCAAAGAATATGGGGGTGACTTCCTTACATTGGCTTGGCATTCTCCTAGTTCAGCCTCATGGAATTAGACTTATGTTAAGGGTTGATACCAAGGGGCCACTTAGCAAATCTCTTTTGGCCCTTGAAGGGTTCATATCACAGCACAGGGTGTGTTATTAATCCCAGAAGGGTAATTGCCTAAATTGTAGTTTAGCACTTAATAATTAACATTACCCTTCACCCCTCATCCTCACCATTTATCACAGTCTCACTGCCTGTCCTGTCTTTTCTTGTTTTTGGCAATAAATTTTGTTTCCTTTGGGTTCAGAAGGCAAGTGGAGCCCCAGTCCTGGAGAAGGCACTTGGCTACAACATATGGTACTTTCCAGAAAACAGTACTAACCTCACAAAGACATTGAACACCACTAACGAGAAGCTTGAACTGTATCTGGGAGGCAAGACCTATTGGGTTTGTGTGGTTTCTTATAATTCTCTTGGGGAATCTCCGGTGGCCACCCTGAGGATTCCAGCTATTGATGAAAAGTGTAAGTACAGTGTAAACTTCTACTTAGATGTCTGGCCCCATCTAGTTGGCCAGGAAGTAATGCCTCTGTTCTCAAGGGTTGTGTTTCTCTCAAGTCAAAATGAAAATGAAGTGGGAACTTTTTAGGTTATGGTGAGGATAGCAAACTCTTGTGGTAATTAATGAGCCTGGAACAAAGCCTGTATTGAAAATCAGAGACTTCATAAAGTCATATGAGGCAAAGTCACACACCTAGAAGTTCTGTATTTGGGATTTTCTCCTCACAGTGTTGACTATGTCTCAGCCTTCATTTGCTCATTCTTCTGTGTTCTTCCTTTTCCTCTTTTTTTTTTTTTTTATGTTTATTTATTTTTCGCAGAGAGCAAGAGAGAGAGTGTATGTGCACTGGGGGGTGTGGAGGGGGGAAGGGGCAGAGAGAGAGAGGGAGAGACAGAATCCCAAGCAAGTTCCATGCTGTCAGCACGGATGTTAAGAACTTGTGAGATCATGACCTGAGCTGAAATCAAGGGTTGAACAGTTAACTGACTGAGCCATCCAGGAGCCACTCATTACACTTTTGATTAAGTAGTTTTGCTCCTAGGCAAACTCATATTTTATATTCCATTTTGGAATAAAATATCTTCTTTGATTCTTATGCAAGGAATTGCAGGCAAGGGGTTTCCTCTCCCCTACTTTATTTTTCTCTATAAATATGTTTCTCAGTCTATAGATTTTCTCATTTATTTTGTTGCCTATCTTTCCCTCAATTGGATACAAGTTCCATGAGTGCAGAGAATTTTGTTTTCTTTTCCTACTTTTCCTCTTCCTCACACCACTTCCCTCATCTGCAACAGCTAGAACAGGCATAGAGTATTTTGCATACAAAAGGTGCTCAGTAACTCTTTGTTGAAACACATCATAGTCAGATAATGCACTTTTCCACTTTTCCACTTCTCTTTACTTAGACCTAGACTGGCTCCGGCATTGTACTACTGGCTCTAGAATTGTTTGCCTATATTCCTTTCTTTCTCTTCTCCTTAAACTTAACCCATTTCTTGCCTTGCTTCATGTTAGAACTCCTATATACAGTTGACCCTTGAACAACATGAGTTTGAGCTGGGTGGGTCCACTTACATGCAAATTTTTTACAGTACACTGCTATAAATGTATTTTCCCTTATCACTCTCTAAATAACATTTTCTTTTCTCTAGCATGCTTGACTGTAAAAATACAATATGTAATACATGTAACATACAGAATATGTGTTAATCAACTATGTTATCAGTAAGGCTTCCAGTCAACAGTAGACTATTAGTAGTTAAGTTTTGAGAGAGTCAAAAGTTATACATAGATTTTCAACTTCTCAGGGGGTTGGTGCCCCTGATCCCCCATGTTGTTCAAGGGTCAGTTGTACACATGACATTTGAGCTACACTTGACATCATTTTAGTATTTAATATCATTCCCCACCATTCTTAGTTCCTGGAATCCTAGTTTCCAAGATACTATCTACTACCTATCTAATACCCCTAGTGATGAGGTTTCTGACAAATGCATGTGTCATTGAATAAACATTCTTTGTTAATAGAGGCACTGCTGCATAGTAATCCCAATTTCTTGGTGTTGCCCTGGAGTGGAAGGCAGTAAAGAATAGGGGATACAAACCTAGGCTTGGGAGTCCAACAGCCCTTTAGTTATATCTTTACTTTTTCACTACAATATCTAGGCACTGCAAACCTTGCACATGTTATCTAAACTCTAAACCTTAGCTGCTTGTAAAATGGAGTTATTTTATTGTAACACCTACTTCATAGAGCTGTTGTGATGATGAAATGAGATTGTATATTTAAAATGCTTTGCCTAGGGGTGCCTGGGTGGCTCAGTCAGTTAAGTGTCTGACTTTGGCTCAGGTCATGATCTCACAGTTCGTGAGTTTGAGCCCCATGTTGGGCTCTGTGCTGACAGCTCAGAGCCTGGAGCCTGCTTCGGATTCTGTGTCTCCCTCTATCTCTGCCCTCCCCCCCCCCCTCACTCTGTCTGTGTGTCTCTCTGTGTCTCAAAGATAAATAAACATTATACCTTCCAGTTCCATCTACGCTGCTGCAAATTCAGTCAGAGAAGGACAGATATATGTTTTCACTTGTATGTGGATCTTGAGAAACTGAACAGAAGACCATGGGGGAAAGGAAGGGGAAAAAAAATAGGTACAAACAGAGAAGGAGGAAGGCAAACCACAAGAGACTATTAAATACAGAGAACAAACTAAGAGTGGATGGGGGTGTGGAGAAGAGAGAAAATGGGTAATGGGCATTGAGGAGGGCACTTGTTGGGATGAGCACTGGGTGTTGTATGTAAGCCAATTTGACAATAAATTATATTCATAAAAAAGATAAATATTTAAAATAAAATAAAATGCTTTGCCTAGGGGCACCTGGGTGACTCAGTCAGTTAAGCATGCAACTCTTGGTTTTGGCTCAGGTCATGATCTCACGGTTCAAGCTGACAGCGAGGAACCTTCTTGGGATATTCTCTCTCTCTCTCTCTCTCTCTCTTTCTCTCTCTCTCTCTCCTCTGCCTGTCCTCTGCTCTCTCTCCCTAAAAAATAAATAAACATTTTATTTATTTTTATTTTTTTAAATATTTTTTAATGTTTATTCACTTTTTGAGAGACAGAGTGTGAGCAGGGCAAGAGCAGAGAGAGAGGGAGACCCAGAACCCAAAGCAGGCTCCAGGCTCTGAGCTGTCAGCACAGAGCCCGACGCGGGGCTCAAACTCAAGAGCCGTGAGATCGTGACCCGAGCCGAAGTTGGATGCATAACCGACTGAGCCACCCAGGCGCCCCAAAATAAACATTTTAAAAAATTAAATGCTTTATTTAATGCTAATTACTACTATTGTCATTGTTAATACAATTTCTCATTAAATTTTTATTAGACATGGATTATCAACTTCACAAATACTATGAAATATATTTTAGCTAAATTCCCATAGGGTTTGTTGTTTATTTTTCCCAATTCTGAAGGTACTTGATTTGTGTCAGAAGCATTGGTGTGATCGTTAGTTATAATGATCCTAGACCAGATGTAGGCAAGCTACAGCTTGTGGACCAAACTTGGCCTGGCACCTGTTTTTGTAAATAAAGTTTTATGGGAGCACAGCCACACCTATTTGTTTACATTTCCTTGTATCACCTTTTGTGAAACAGTGATACGGGGCGCCTGGGTGGCTCAGTCGGTTAAGCGTCCGACTTCAGCTCAGGTCATGATCTCGCGGTTGGTGAGTTCAAGCCCTGCATCGGGCTCTGTGCTGACAGCTCAGAGCCTGGAGCCTGTTTCGGATTCTGTGTTTCCCTCTCTCTCTGACCCTCCTCCGTTCATGCTCTGTCTCTCTCTGTCTCAAAAAATAAATAAATGTTAAAAAAAAATTAAAAAAAAAAAAAGAAACAGTGATAGAGTAGAATAGTTGTGACAAAGACCATGTGTACTATAAAACCTAAAATATTTACTATTGGGCTTCTTACAGAGAAAGTATAAAGACCCCTGTTTTAGACATATAAGAAAGTAATGCTTTACAGAATTTTATTTAATAAAATGGAGTCAAGTAGAGAATAGTTTTAATTGTAATAACTATAACAATCTTTAAGTATAATTATCATATACTATTAGTATATTTTAGGCATTGTGATAAGATGACATAGGTCAGTTTAATGTTAGCCTTGAAATGACCCATCAGGTAGATGCTGTGGAATCATTTCATAGACGATGAAGCTGAGATTCGGGAGAGCTTAGGAATCTGCCCATGGTTTCTCAGGTGGAATTCAAACACAGGTCTCCACGATCCAAATTTATATAATATGCTTTATTCAGAACCTTGGATTTGATGCTGTTTGACACTGAACTGGTTATTTACCTCTGTGGGACTCCATTTTACCATGTTTAAAATAAGGGTTTGGAATAGATACACCTTCAGGTTCCATCTGGTCTGATCATCCTCTGGGTTTTAAAAGACCTTAGCCAGCAGGTGGCTCTGGAGTGATCTGAGGCAGGGCCCAGAAGAGCACAGCCATTTTGTGGTGGGGAGTCAGAAGGAGGTTGAACTCTTGGGGAAGAGCTGAGGATAGGCTAGGACAGCTGGCTAAGGTGAGGCACCATAGCACCTGAGGACTATATGTGATGGCCCACAGTGACTGCTTTCATGCAAACGACAAGAACTTAAAGGTATTAGTGGTCAAAGCCCCTTCCCCCTCTCCCCAGAAGAATATGGATTTTCTCCTGCTCCTGGGGGTATGGTGTATTTGAAGAAAGTGCTCAAAAGTTCTTGGTGAATAATGGAAGGATTCAGCAATTAGTATACATACAGCCGAGTGATGATTAGGAAACTTCTCTTTCAGCACCCTTTGACACTACCCAGGCCCTTTGAAGGTTGACTTATGGCTTAATTGAACCTTTTCCACACTCTTGTGGCCCAGAGCCTGGGCTGTTCTCTTCTTCCCTGCAGCATATTTGGCTCTTTCTACCTGACTCCTGTTCCTCTGATAGCCAGTGTTGGTAAAGAAAGGTGTGGGCTTAGGAATCAACACTCACTCCTGTCTTCAGGTTAAGATTTGTGTGCAAGTAATTACTGAAAAACTGCCTCCAGGGAGACCAGAAAAGGCAGTGAAGGAAGCAATGTCAGGGAAGGGAAGGCCAAAGGTGCAGTGTGTTCTTCCCAGGGCTGCTATAGAAATGTACCAGACTGAGTGGCTTCAAACAACAGAAATTTATTATCCCATTGTTCTGGGGGCTAGAAATCTGAAACCAAGGTGTTGATGGGGCTATGCTTTTTCAGAACCATCTAGGGGAGTTCCTTCCTTCCTTCTTCCTGCTTTTGGTAAGCTCTAGGCATTCCTTGGCTTGTGACAGCATAACTTCACTCTCTGCCTGATCTTCACAGGGCCAGCTTCCTCTGTCTCTTTGTGTGTCCAAATTCCACTTTTCTTATGAGGACACCGGTCATACTGGGTTAAGGACCTACCATCTTAACTATTAACATCTGCAACAACCTGATTTCTTGATAAGGTTGCATTCTGCGGTACTTGCATTCTGCGGTTGCATTCTGAGGATGTGTTTTTTGGGGGACACAGTTCAAGCCATAACAGGTAAAATCTGTAATAAACATCTTGGGGAGGGCGGTTCCAGCATGACCTTGCAAGGGGACTCTGGAGTATGAGTTATATTACAAAGTTCTTCCAACCAAGAAAAATACACAAAAACAGTAAGAAGGAATTGAGAAGATCAGAGAGCATGAACATTATCTGCTACAAGAGGCTGGGGAGGGTTCCAGATGCTCTAGGAATGCCTTTTGGCCTGACTTCAATGGTAACTGAGGATGCGTACAGGCTATGAGCGGGGGTGAGGGGGTAGGAGGTAGGAGTGACAGGAGCTCTAGGGGTCACGAGGGCTTAATGCTCAGGCCCCTGTCCTCACTCCAGCTTCACATTTTCTTCATGCCTCATTTGCCCTTCCTGACCCTTTCAGGGTGACAAATTACCTGGCCTTGCTTATGGGACTAGCAGCTGGAGTGTCTCATAAAGGCCCAGTTTGGGAAAAGGATTCATGAACTTTGGCCTTCAAGAACAGAGGTTCCTAAATATGAACACAGCCTCATGGGGCTTGTTGCCTAGAAATAGCAGGATTCAATACCCCAGATGCCACATCAAATTCCTACATTTGGCCTAGGCTTCTAGCTTCAGAAGGCTCTTTTATTTATTTATTTTTTTTAAGGGACACTGCCTCCTTTTCTGCCTTTATCCAAGATTGTTTTTGGTGTTCATTTAAGCATATTTTCTATTCCAGTTTTGAAGCTTCAGGTGTGTTGTGGGTGATAAGAAGTGGAGGAGAGGGGAGAGCCACATCCTGTGATCTTCTAAGCCCCACCCCTTCTCTGCCATACTGTACCTCTAGTAGTTCTCCTCTTTTTGCTTATTTAGAAAATTTTCAATAAGATAGCTCTCTGATTCTAATGAAATCCTAGCTATTGTATTTGAAGTCACATGTTCAACTTTTCTATTAAAGGAATCCTCCTTGCCCTTATCCAGACATGAGTTTTTTGTTGGGCTTGCAGAAAATGTTGTCATTGGCATATCGGTCCGTACCTAGGGGCTTTGAATGAGTGTGTCTGCATCTTTCTGGTACAGATACAATTCTTACTGCCCTATGGAGAGGAATCCATAGGCAGGTTGTGTGGGGCTAGCCTAGACAGTTGAAATTTGAAGCCACCTCCCTGGTATGATATTAGGGTCCCCAGCTCCCAGCCATAGAATTCCTGGTGCCTGAAATTCTGTCTTTAGAGATTCATTCTTTGTCTCAGGCTTGCTTTCCTTTTATTTGCAGAGGCACCTGTGGAAGGTGAGTCTTTTGAGTTGCTGAGAGTTCTAGTTGCACTAGAGAGTTGCAACTCTCTAGTGAGATCCTTTCTTGGAAACAGGTAAATTTTGTCAGAGATAAGGAAAAATTAAGAAGGTACTTACATCAAAGTTGGGGGTAAAGAAAAGAGATACAATAAAAAGGGTGGAAACAGCACCATTAAGGGAGGCTGCAGTGGAGATCCTGAACTTTGATCTTCTTTACAATTTGGGCAGTGAATGGATGCCAGTGTGGTTGGTGCATTTGGAGAATGAGTTGGGCAGCTTTCTTTCTTCTTTTTCTCCTCTCTTAGCATTTCAGTGCATTGAGGCCATGCAGGCCTGCCTCACTCAGGACCAGCTGGTGGTGGAGTGGCGAAGCTCTGCTCCAGAGGTAGACACATGGATGGTTGAGTGGTTTCCAGATTTGGACTCAGAGCCCTCCACTTTTTCCTGGGAATCTGTGTCTCAGGCTACAAACTGGACAATTAAGCAAGGTAGCAATTATGAACCGTATAAGTTCCCTCTTTGTGGGATTCAGTTTCATTTCCATCAGTTTTAAAATCTTTAACTTTGACGTCAAAGCTGTAGGTGTGGTTAATAGCATTTGACAAAGCTAGTGCAAGCGTAGTGAAGTGACATTCTTGCCATTTCCCAGTGAGGCTGTGTTGGGAAGTCATGGGTATCACACCAGGTATCTGGCCTGTTTCCAGGTGGAAAACACCATGTTAACACCACCATCAGAGAGCCCTTCCTGATGTCTCGATCATGGGGATAACATTAGAGTTTATATCCCATCCCAACAAACACTGATCACAGATAAGTGAGGCTTTACCCTCCTAATCCTGTCAGTACAGCCATTTATTAATACTTAATAGCACTCATATAAGGATTTATACTCATGCAGGGATGCTGGAAGACAGAGGAGCTAGAATTAATGGTATCTGAGTTCACCAGGTGATGTGCTGTTAACAGAAGTATTCAGTTTTTTTCTGCATTGCTACCAAATCAGGTATCAAAATCCATGATGGAGGAGGGACGGATTTCTTTTCCCTTCCTGGATGTCTCTGTCATTTTATCACACTGGTGCAGACTTGGTTCTTAGAATTAATTTTAAAAGCTCTATTTTAGAACTAGCATAGACATTAGAGACCATCCAACCTAACCTCCTTATTTTCCAGATGTGGAAACTGTACAGAAATAGAGCATCTTTAGTAAGTTGTAGTGGTAAGTTGGTTTAGTGGTTCTTCTCCTTTGCCATGCCCTGAAGTAAGGCTTGTTTTCTGTCTTTCTTTCTTATTTACAGATGAATTAAAACCTTTCTGGTGCTATAACATCTCTGTGTATCCAGTGTTGCAAGATCGAGTGGGCAAACCATTTTCCATCCAGGCTTATGTCAGAGAAGGCAGTATGTATGAAAAGGCCCTGTGGGGCAAGGAAACACTGAGTTTCCTCAGTGTGCTGAGGAAACACTGAGTTTCCTCAGTGTCCTCAGTGGTGCTATCCAACATCCAGACAAGGCTGTGGATGTCTGTAGCTCATTCACAGTTGCCTTAGTGTTTAGCTGTGCTGCACCTTCATTCAGCTTCTGGTAAGCTATATATGCTTGACACAATGTGGTCAAGTTGTAGATCCACTGAATTTCAAAGCTGGACTAGAAGTTAGAGATCATCAAGTCCAGGCCCCTCATTTAATAAATGGAAAATCAAGGCCCAGAGAGTTGAAATAATTTGTGCAAATTCACAAAGAAACTTTGTGTAAATAGCCCTGTAGGCAGAATAACATTTAGCTAAGACCGGGTTAGGGACTTTGCAGAGTTAATCATAAGTTGGAGATGCTAAAAAATTACTTTTAATTGTGTAATTGTAATCAAGGGTTTTACTGGTGAACTTCTCAGACTTTATCTTTTGGAAGTTAACCTCCTCCACGTTAGAAAACACATCCTGTCACTCAAAGGTAGCCCATGGGGGCATATCCTTCACCTATATTTGATGATAGCTATTACAGATATGAGTAGAAACTGAATGCAAAATGAGAGTGAGAGCCATAAGAAAGTACTGTTTTTGCAGGCCTCTGACCCTGCTTTTCTTCTGTTCGAGATGGATAATTCCAGAAAACAGTGTTCCCAAACAAGATGATTCATCATTTACCTACTTTGCTCCTACCTCCCACCTCCAGCACTGATTTCGCTTTCAGTACTAGCCAGAGCCTTTGTGGGGAAAGGATCTACTCCACTGTGATTCAGTGTTTATTGTTTTTATCCCTGTCCTGTAAAGTTCCGTCAGCAGGTCCTGTGACCCAGGCGGACAACATTGGTGTGAAGACAGTCACAATCACATGGAAAGAGATTCCCAAGAGTCAAAGAAATGGTTTCATCACCAACTACACCATATTTTACCAAGCTGAAGATGGAAAAGAATTCTGTAAGTGTGCTTATAGCCAAGTTGGAAACTCCCTAAAACCCAAACATGCTATGGATAGACCTGCCTTAGGGGTTGGTGCTCTATAATCTTGCATGAGTCACTTAGCTTCTTTGAGAATCTCTGATAATGAGGCCAAGAGTACCTATCTCTTGAGTTTTTTGGAGTCAAATGAGAGTGAAGTGACAGTCTTGTAGGAACCACAGGAGTTGATATAATATGTCCTCGTTAGGCTGTGAACAAGTGGGCCTCCTGGGAGCTTCACCATCATTAGTCTGGAATGGACTTGTGTGCTTGGATCAAAGAGTAGAGTAGTGACACTTAGCTCGGTGCAGGACCCTTTATCCTGACTCCTACTGCCCACTGCCAAGTCATACTTTTTTCCTTGAATCCAGACTATCTCCTGATTTCCTAGGGATGGGCATGGATTCCTAAAATTAGGCAAATTTTTTTATTATGGCAAAATACATATAACATAAAAGTCACCACTTAAAACATTTGAAAATGCACAGTTTAGTGGCATTGAGTATGCTGATAATGATGTGTGACCATCATCTCTACCTGTTTCCATGCCAAAAAGAAACCTGGTAGCCATTAATCAGTGTCTTGGCATTGTCTTCTTTCCACAGTCTCTGGAAACCACAAAATTGTTTTCTGTCTTTTTTATTTACCTATTCTGGCTATTTCATACAAATGGGATCATAGAGTATGAGGCTTCTTTTACCTGGCTTCTTTTACTTAGCATATTGTTTTCAAAGTTTATCCATTCTGTAGCTTGTATTAGTATCTCATTCCTTTTTATAGCTAAAGAATATTCTATTATGTGGATATCCCACATTTTATTTATCCATTCATCAGTTGATGGGCATTTGGGTTGTTTCCACCTTTTGGCCACTGTAATTAATGCTACTATGAATATCTGTGTGCAAATACCTGTTTGAGTTCTCTGCTTTTAATTCTTTGGGGCATATACCTAGGAGTGGAATTTCTGGGTCATATGGTAATTTGGGCTTAACATTTTGAGAAACCACTGAACTGTTTTCCATAGAGGCTGCCCCATTTTACGTGCCCACCAGCAAAGTCTGATAATTCCAATTTTTCCACATTCTTACCAACACTTATTTTATGTTAAAAAAGATTATTATGGCTATCCTTGTGGGCATGAAATGGTTTCTCAGTGTGATTTTGATTTGCATTTCCCTAATACCTAATGATGCTGAGCATCTTTGCATGTGCTAATTGGTCATTTGAGGATCTTCTTTGAGAAAGTCTTCAATTTTTTTTGACCATTTTTATTATTTATTTATTTATTTATTTATTTATTTTTTAACCTTTATTTTTGAGACTGGGAGAGACAGAGCATGAACAGGGGAGGGTCAGAGAGAGGGAGACACAGAATCTGAAACAGGCTTCAGGCTCTGAGCTGTCAGCACAGAGCCCGACGTGAAGCTCGAACCCACAGACCGCGAGATCACAACCTGAGCTGAAGTCGGACGCTTAACCGACTGAGCCACCCAGGCGCCCCAGACCATTTTTAAATTGGGTTGTTTGCCTTTCAGTTGTTGAGTCCTAAGAGTTTTTAAATATATATTCTCAATAGAAGTTCCTTATAAAATCTGTGATTTGCATATATTCCCATTCTGTGGGTTGTCTTTTCACTTTCTTGATAATGTCTTTTGATGCACAAAAGCTTTATTTTGGTGAAGTCCAGATTAATCTATTTTCTTTTGTTGTTTATGTGTTTGGTATCATATCTAAGAAACCAAGGGCAAATTCAAGGCCACCATTTACCCTGTGTTTGTCTTCTAAGAGTTTTATAATATTAGCTCTTATGTTTAGGTCCTTGATCTATCTTTATAGGCTAATTTTAAGCACAACATGGATAGAGGGATTGGGGTATGAGATGGGCTGGCTTAGAGGTACAGGTTCAGGTGCTCTTATTTCACTGCTTGGCCTTGGATCTGGCATTTTTTTTACTTGGCCTTGGCTCTGGCATTTGACTTCCATCTTTTTCCTTTAGCCAAGACAGTTAACTCCAACATCCTGCAGTACGATCTGGAGTCCCTAACACGAAAGACCTCTTATAGTCTTCAAGTCATGGCCAGCACCAATGCTGGGGGGATCAACGGCACCACAATAAACTTCAAGACATTGTCAATTAGTGAGTATTTCCTTCAAGCCTTGGATAATTCCCCTTGGCATTTCCCGTAGACCAGTTAGTGATGATGTTTTCCAAAGGCAGGGGGAAACCAAATGGAAGGGTGGTACATAGAAGAACCATCTACTCTGTGGCTCACTGGCCTTCCTGGAAGGTGTATGTGTGAGGAGAGAATAGGGAGAGCATGCACATTGAGAGCTGAATTGAAAAAGAGTGGTCATTTTGCTCCTTCCTAATGGATAGCCCCCTATTATCTTGAGGTGAAGAGATCAAGTTAATGCCAACTTTACTCTCAGTCCAAACAAGCTCCTGCTTCAAGGCTGTCCCCAAGTTCATAGTCACCAGTTTCTCTGTGTCACAGGTTACTGCACAATGGGGCCTTAGAGGGAAAACCTTGGTTGAACAAGCACCACTGGCCCACAGGAAGTAACTTAACCTCTATCCTTTGTGAAGATTTTTGAGTAAAAACATACATGACATGTTCTGCTTATTAGTTTTTAGATTAGAAAAATAGCAAGAAAAATGTAATAAATAACAAAATATAAAATGCTATATAGTGTTGTATGATGGTTATGGGAAATATTCAAGAGGAAAAGAAGATGAAATGAGAAGAGAGATCAAGAAGAAAGGGGAATGGGAGAAACAGAAATATTTTAATTTTCTCAAGTCTTTGAGGGAAAGAGATTTGATTGGATATATTCGAATTGTTTTAAGAATTATTTACATTAAAAGTGAAAGGACATTGCCAATTTTTACAGTAAAAGTGAAAAATAGTCTGGTTTAAGTACTCTTGAAAACCTCTTGCTCATTACATGGTTAAAAGAATAAAAATATATTTATGCCTCTGGAAAATACGAATATGGGATTGTGTTTTTTACACAACACATTCTATTTTTATGGACTAACACTGCCTTTTTGGAGGTTTTTGATATTGTTCTTTAGAGTCTTTTAAAAATGCTGTTTTATTTTCACAACACTGGGCACAAATTGCATTATCCGCTAGAATTTTCTCCATGAGTCAAATTTAAGGCAAGAGCCTGCCTTGGAGTGTCGATGTTTCTTACACTTGTCTACACATTACAAATCTCCTTCCTTCTGTCTCTGTTCCTGTACAGTCTACTCTCCACACACCAGCCAGAGTTTAAAACCCTAGACTCCTGCTTGAAACCCACCTGTGGCTTCTGTTGTATTTTAAGTAAAATTCAAACTCCTACCCATAGCTTTCAGGATCCTTCACAATCTGTTGTTTACTGACCTCATCTCCTACAATTTTCTGCTTCTGTCTGTGTTAACTTCTTTCTGCTTTGCAGCTTTTGCATCTATTGTTCCTTTTGCCAGAAATGCTTTCTCCATATTGTTGCATGGCCAGTTTCTTCTCATTATTAACATTAGCTCAAATTTCACCTCTCAGAGAAGTCTTCCTTTGCCACCCTATCTAAAGTTACTAACTTTTCTTCAACCTTACCTTGGATACAGTCTAATATCCTATTATATCTGAAATAATCTTTTTTTATTGTCTGAATCCTCCTACCAGAACGTAGGCTCCATGAGAGTAGAGATCTTGTATTTCTTGCTTATTGCTGTTTATTTTATTACCCAGAACAGTGTTTGGCAAATGGTAAGTGCTCATAAATATGTACTGAATTAGAAAGGTTGGAGACTGAACCTTGTGAACATAATATCTGTCACTATTATTCCGGCAGAAGAGAACTGGATGAGGAGCCATAAATACCAGGGTTTTTTTTAATGAATAAATTAAAATTCAATTGAATTGAAAGAAAACTCATAAGTAATGTGTTGCTTAAGCTACTGGAATAAAAAGTTACTCTTTGGTATTTGTTAAGAAAGTGAGGACTTTAACTGACATTTGTTCTCCTATTCCCAAAGGTATCCTTGAGATTTTCCTTATAACTTCTCTGGTTGGAGGTGGCCTTCTTATTCTCATCATCTTGTCAGTGGCATATGGTCTCAAAAAGCCCAAGTGAGTTTATAGGCAACAGCATGGGCGTTATAGGCAACAGAAAGGGGTGGAAGGCATCATGGGTGGAAGAGGGTTCTCTGTCATTAAGGGGGTGTTGTTTCATTTATTAATTTGGCATATATTTATGGAGTTTATTATATGTTACACCCTATAGCTCATCAGAATTCTGACCAAACAAGAGGACTCTCACCCCCACAGCCCCATACACCAGGCTTAGGCCAAGGGATTGCCAGTTGCCCCACAGGCTTTATCTTCTGTATTTGGCATCTGAGACTAAAATTAGGGAGAAGGTACTTTCTCTCAGCATCTGGCAGCAGCAAGAGGGCTGAAGGCCACTAGCTTCTCTCCCAGGCAGACCAGGGAGTGTACCCATAGAATTAGATTACTACCCAGTAGTGTGCCCAGCACAGACTTGTTCCTTGCTCATGGTGCAGTGTTGGAGGGCTGGCTACAGGGGCATTTGTCCTGCCTGTCCTGGCCACTATGGGAAAGGAAACTCATCCTTAGGGTCATAGGCTTTCTCTCCACAGACAGCCTCATACTGTCATGCTGGTCAAGAGCTCCCTCCCTCGTAGACCTCTCTCTCCAGAATTGTGCAATTTGGGGCCTTCTCTGCCAAGCAGCCATGCTTAGTTATGGTTAAGTGAATGTCAACCTCATTTTCCAACCATAGGTAGAAACCAGGTCAGCAGCCAAATTCTTGTACGTGTTGCATGTGTAACAAGCTCCCAGGTAATGCTGCTGCTGCTGCTGCTGCTGCTGCTGCTGCTGGATGGTACCCCTCTTTGAGAATCACTGTACTAAAGTATGGGTACCTTATAAGGCTTTGAGTGTTACATGGTTCTGTGATGGTGTGATTTTCAGCATCAAGATCCGGGGTGGAGATGAAGGGCAGGAGAGGGTAAGAAAGGTGTCTTTCCATCACATCCCATTGATGACTTGAAGTTTCACTCCCCAGGTTACTTTGTTTTCCCAGTTTCTGTCAGGAGGTCAGAAGCTTGACCTTATTTATTAGGGAGACATACAACTCCCTATAGCAAAGCTCCATCCTTTTGGCATAGCCATGCAGTGTGAGTATTATACTTCTTTAACTCACTTCCTGTTTTAAAATATTATTAGCAGATTGAAGCACCTCTGTTGGCCCGATGTCCCCAACCCTGCTGAAAGCAGCATAGCCACATGGCGTGGAGATGATTTCAAGGTAAACAGTCCTGTCTTTGTTAAGCAATCATTGAGGAGGCTGGTTGTAAAAGACAACGAAGAGTGATGGAGGTTAGGAGGAGTCCTGGGCTGAGATTTTACAGGGTTTACATGAACTATGAGATCATGACCTGAGCTGAGGTGGGATACTTAACTGACCGAGCCACCCAGGTGCCCCAAGTTTCATAAGTTTTTAAATCGAAAACTCTTTTGAAAGTTTTAAGGTGTAATTTCTTAGTTAAGTAAAAACAAGCCGTGTCAAATATCACCTTTAAATTTGTATTAAAGATTGTTTGTAGTATTGCTTGATGCTGGAATTTTTAGTATTAGCACTTGTTTCAACTCAGAAATCTTTTTTAAACATGGACATTTTTATTTACTTATTTAAATTTTTGTTATTTGTCTTATTTCTGTTTTCTTCTCTCCTGTATCAGCTATGTATTACCTTATTTGCTACTTATTAAAAGTTATGAAGAGAGTAAACAGATTTATAGGCAGTATTGTCAGATGTCTAAAGTGTTCATTTATTTAAAAAAAGTCATTTATTTTGAGAGAGAGAGAGATAGAGGAAGGGGCAGAGGGAGGGAGAGGAGGAATCCCAAGCAGGCTCCAGTAAGGGGCTCGATCCCACAATGCTGGGGTCATTGCCTGAGCTGAGATCAAGAGTTGGACGCTTAACCAACTAAGCCATCCAGGTGCCTCGAAAATGCTTTTTGAGTAACATAGGGCTGGCCTCCATGGCAGGCATATATTACTCACTGAATGCCAGGCATTGAGCTAGACTCTTTGTATACAAAGATGTTAAAGACACTGCCTCTGCCTAGGAGGCCACCTTTGATTTTTCTGATGATGTTGGGCAAGTCATTTGTCTTCATGATTGTAGTTTTTGCATCTGTAAGAGTTCTAATTTTGATGTTCCCATCTGAACTGTAGTTTTGTGAACTTAAGATTGTGTGGCAAATAGTCTCGAGCTCTCTATAAGAAAAAAATGGAATACTTCGTGCCATTCTCAGGAAATGGGCCAGTGTTGCCATGCTCTTATGGAAGGGCATATGGAGGTGATTGGCCATCACTTCTGGTCTCTGGAAGGAATGTGGGGGCTGGTCAAGAGGTGAGACATTGGTTGTCCCAAGCCTATTGACTACCTCATGTGTAGCTCCAAAATGATCATTGGGGGTATCCTTTTCTCTTTTTCAGGATAAGATAAATTTGAAGGAATCTGATGACCCTGTGAATATGGAAGAAGACAGAGTTCTAAAACCATATTCTTCCCCCAGAGACCTTATTGACAAGTTGGTGGTGAACTTTGAGAATTTTCTGGAAGACGTTTCCACAGAGGAACTTGGAAAGGGTCAGGAAAACATTTTGAGAGAAGAAAAAAATGAATATGTGACTTCTCCATATCGGCCTTACTGTCCTCCCATTTCAACTGAGATTCCACAGAGAAAATCCCAACAACTGTGTTCTAGAATACCAGAGGGGATCTGCTTAGAAACCACAGAGCAGCTTCTTTCTTCTGTTCTGAATTTAGGGCCAGACCGTATCTGTGAAGAAGGAGAACCTAATCCATACTTGAAAAATTCAGTGACAACCAGAGAATTTCTCACGTCTGAAAAACGTCCAGAGCAAACCAAAAGGGAAGTCTAATTGTTACTGTGACTTGAATCTCTCTGGGTTGTAGTGTGGGCAACTCTTATAGACAGAATGTATTAGGACTTCGCCAGAAGAGCTTCCTTGGCTGTCTCCCCATCCTTGCTTTGTGTTAGAGAAATTGTCACACATCCCTGAGTGGCTTGTTGAACTTGGTTGGCACAGATGTGTAACTTGCCTGAGAAGAAGGGATAGTGGTATGTCTGAGCATTTTGCAGAGGAAAAGTGTTTATTTTCTTTTGTTCAGGTAACAAGCTCTCACTGAGGTCTCTGACATAATGATTTTAAGGGACAATGGAGCCCCTAAGGTGGATATATCTTGCCTTCCCTAGGAATTAGGTCTTTGCCACAACTTTTGCTCGAGCTTCTCCTCAGAGATCCAGCAGACTTTCCCCATTGCCAGAGGACAGTGGTCTGGTAGGAGGTGGGAATCTCTCCCTTTACATTGATTTCCCTTGGGTTCTGGGTTCTACCTCCAAGGAAGCCCTGAGATCTCACTTATGAGATTTTGTTTCTCCCTCAGTATAGGGGCAAGGGAGGTAGAGTGGCCTTCCTGATGGTGTGCTTCTCATTAACCTCATAAAATCTCAAGTGTCTGCAGCAACACCTCCACCCAGGACTCTTGCCCCTAGTTCACAGCACATTGGCCTCTAGTAAATTGATCTCAGCAGGGCACTAGGGAGTGGACTCCAGCCTGGGCCAGCAGGTCTGCCCCAATCTTCAGGTCATTGCCCAGCTCTGAAAAGCTCCCAGAGGCCTTTGCTGGCCCTTTATCTTGCACTCAAACCTGGGAGTAGAAAGGCACCAAATACTGCACTGCTTTTGTACAGGATCTCTGGCCCCTTATGCTAGCTCACAGCCTAGGAATGCTTACAAAGCTTCCTTCAAAGGCCTCTTTCCTGAAGGACCTGAGCAGGGTGTGGAAACATGCTACTGTAACTTTGCTGCCCCGACCCAGGACTCCTTTTCCTTCACCTTGGCCATGCACAGAGCTTATGACACGTCAGGGGAGCCTTTAGCCCAAGTGCTAATGGCAGGATTAGCTAATGGCAGGATTCAGTTGCTGAGAATTGGGGACTAATGGCTGGCCCTGGGCTGGCACCTCAACCGCAGTGATGGCAGATGATTTCCTAATATGTGGCTTTGACTCATCTGGCTATTAGGGGAGGTCTCTGACAACCTGGTGAGATCTGGGAAGGCCAGGCAATGAGTGAGCAGCCAAGGTGCCTTGAACGTAGCATTTGCCAGCCAGAAAGGCTCATGTCCGTTTTTATAGGAGAATTTGAGAAGTCAGTACTTGAGTAGCAGGCATGAACTTCACAAGCCAACAATTCAGATGTGCAAAAATATCACTTTACTTTCCTATAACTAAACTTAATTTCTAACACAAGCCTATGACATTTTAAAGTAACCACAGCCCAATTTGGTGATTTGTGAGTGGCTTTGGGTTTATAGCTCAGTCACAGTCAGGATTTTGACCAGCCTTCCCTCCCTTCCCCACCACCCCCATCCAGTCTGGGACTGATTCTGAGTGCCACAGGATATTCAGTGGAGCAGCAGGTTCTGTCTCCCATTTGGTGTCTGCCTAATGCTGGTCCAGGGATGTGCCTATGACCCCACCTGTTGGGTCATCTACCACTTTTCTCGGCCAATTGCTGTGTCCTTACCTTGGGCACAAGCAGGTGGTGCAGCTCTTCCGGAACTTTCTCCTCATGAAATTTCCAGTGTCTGCAGCACCTTTCCACCCCTCCCCCGCCAATTCTTCACGCCTCGTGTACAGAATAGTGTCTGCTGACAAGGTGAGGAATGCAGGAGGTCTGGGGCAGCAGGCTGGGGAATCTGCACCTTTGTACTGAGAGTAGATAGGGACCAAATGCAAGGGATACACTGGATCCATCTGTAGTAGTCTCTTTCTGCCCTATCTCCCCCACCCCATCTTGTTGTGACTCAGGCATTTGTATGAGCCCCTTGTCCCCCAGGGTTCCAGATGGGGTCCTTTCTACCTGTTTCTCTGCATTTGTGAACCTTAGGGACATGCTAGCTTCATACCCCACAACTGTTCTCTTTTCTGTGGCCATCTGCCCACCTCTCACTGAGGGATCTTCTCAAATTCTGTATGAGGGGAAGGGGGAAGGGAATGAGTCCCCTGCCTCCTGCCCCCATCTTGTTTGTTTCACACCTGGATGAGGCTTTTGAACCTAAAACCCAAGAATTAGATGTCTGGGGAGAGAGGAGGAGTCCCAGCTGGCTCCTGTGAGTGGGTTTCAGAGATGAAGACCTTCCCCTCTACTTCTCCTCCCTTAATCATTCATTAAAGCCTGAAATGTCTTCTGGTGAACAGTTGGAAAATGCCACACTCCTGGCCCCTCCTCTGCTTCATCCCTTCCTCCCTCCCATCTTCTGCTTTCCTGCCTTTCCCAGAAGCTTCTCTTTTTAACACTTGCTTTTTCTTCCTTCTTTTCTTTTCTTCTTCTTTTCCCACTAACCTCCTTTTATAATTTTTCACACTTACTTTTGTTGCCTTGAGGGCTAGGGAAGTAGGGGCCCTGTGTTGTGTTCTAGGTGACCCGAGGTAGGTCCTAGGAGTCAGTGTTGCCTGCCAATAAGGGGTGTGGGAACCTCAGGATCTCCTTCAGCAGGCTGCACACTGCTCTCCAGAGCAGATTCCCAGGGCATAGGTCTAAAAGCTAAGAAGCCACGGTGGCCTTTCTTCCCTGGGGTCCAGTCAAAAACTGTCCCCACTCCCAGTACCCTGTGCTGCCTCTGTGGCCCAAAAAAAAGCAATCTCCATTTTTTCTCTGTTAGATCAAAGAGAACACAAACAGGGAAACTTGTATTTTAGCAAGATCATGAAAAACTGAAAACATTCTCAATCGGGTTTTCTGGGGTTCAGAACCATGTAAACAGCTATGTTAGTGCCTTATTAATGGCCTTCTACACTGATACCAGAAGAATTTAAAATAATGGCAGAAAAGCCAACTGTGGGCTTAAGAAAAGAAGGTCATACTTTCACTGTGGCTTCTCAGGAGGCAACAGTAAACCACATACAGTGCAAACTCTGTAGGGGTGAGGTGAGTTTTGAAAGGAGGCAGGAGATGGGGAAAGGGAGCTGGGAAAGGAAAGATGTCCTGCGTGGGTCCCAGGATGCCCACTGAGGCTGCTCCTTTGTGTGAAGGAAGCCTGTGCCTGGATGCCCAGCCACCCTGAGGGGTTCTGGTGCCTTCTCCATCATGTCCCTAGTTACTACCTACTGGTTGCAAACTGGCCTTCAGGCTAAATCTGGGACTTGTGCTTCCAGAGCCCATGACTCAGGAATGATGTTGACATTTTAAAAATCTGCTGGATAACAAAATCAAAGGAAAAAATCATGTTTAATGACATGAAGACTATATGGAATGCACATTGTGTCCATAAATAAAGCTTAAATTGGTAAAGAGCCACACCCATCATTTACATATCATCTGTTTTCTTTCCTCCCACAAAGGCAGAACTGAGTAGTTGTGACAGAGAATTTCTCCCACAAAGCCTAAAGTGTTCACCACCTTGCCGTGTGCAGAAAAAGTTGGCTCACCTATGGGTAGCCCACCAACACGAGGCTCAGACTGCATAGTGTTGGCCCACAGAGTGTTTTAACTTTGAATTAGCTGCTAATTAAACAAAATTTCAGGTTATGGTCATTCTGGATTTCTGAGTACGGACTGCCTCTTTTAAATTTTTTTTTTTTTCAACGTTTATTTATTTTTGGAACAGAGAGAGACAGAGCATGAACGGGGGAGGGGCAGAGAGAGAGGGAGACACAGAATCGGAAACAGGCTCCAGGTTCTGAGCCATCAGCCCAGAGCCTGACGCGGGGCTCGAACTCACGGACGGCGAGATCGTGACCTGGCTGAAGTCGGACGCTTAATCGACTGCGCCACCCAGGCGCCCCATGGACTGCCTCTTTTAGAAGGGCACATACTCTCTGGCTCCCCACCCCAGCCCTCTCAGCTGCCCATAGCTAAGGTGGAGCATTAGTTGGTTGGTCATCACCTATTCCAGTGGTTCTTCATACAGCTTATTCTGTGCCCCTACTTCAGACATATGGCCTGGAGGTATTTTGGGAGGGTGATGCTGGCATCTAGTGGATAGAAGTGAGCTACCTCTTCCCACTCAACATTCATAGGTGTTCCCACCTTTTTTTTTTTTTTTTTTTTGTAAATTTAAATTTTGTTTTGGACTCTACTATGCCAACATCAACAACAACAAAAATCTCTTAATACCAATTATTTGTGTCATTCTTAATTCCTTCCTGATACGATCTGCATATACTTATATACGTGTTCATCTAATTGAATGTCATACATTGATTCTATTGTATTTTCCTTTAGTTTCATGTACTATTTCATGTTTAAAATTTCATGCATGAACATGGTTCATTGTTGTAGTATTTTGAATGGACACTCAGAACTCCATGGTGTGCCTGAATATTATGGTTTGCCAAGGACCCTTTCTTGTTAGGATTGTTTTAAATGTCTTCTTTGTATAGAGACCAACTTCACTAAATTATGTTCTTTGTACATTTTCTTTTCCTACCTTTGTCCTAACTCCTTGGGGACTCTTCCTAAGGGTGGAATTTCTGGGTCACAGTTTTATGGTTATTGTCATATATTGCACATCTGTGACCCCCTTAAAGGCTGCACTGATATTTTCAATATATCCAGGGGTATCTGGGGCATCCTTTGTCCTTGCTATTGATAATCAACTGTTTATTGCTGTAAGCTTGGTTTTGTCAATTTAATGGATATGGTTACTGACACTTCATAGTTATTTGTGTTGCTTAAGTCATTGTGAAGGTAACCTTGTCCCATGTATATTTATAGTCTGCATGTCTACCTGTTGACATTATATAGTGTTCTACATCCAAGCCACTGGGGCACTGAGAGACCAGCTGAGCTGCTAGACATGAGAGGCACTTAGCAGGACCTTACAAAATTGATTGACTTCGTTATTTGGCTGACTATTGAAAATATGTGGGTTTTGTAGGACATTTTAAAAGAAACACCACATAGATGTCTTTCCTGAATTAGTGACAAGGCCTATTTGTAATCACAGTATGTGGCACTATTGGTGTCTTGCACTCTTGGAAGGAGGGTGCTTGGACTGATTATGACAATGTCATTAGCAGTTCTTGTCCCTCTGCAGCTTTTACTGGACACTGGAGTCAGCAGAGAGAGCATTGGCTCAAAAGCAGAAACATCCCCAGTCCATGTTGGCGAAAACCTGGAGATGCCTGCATCTGGCTGCTGAGAAAGGTGTGGGAGAAACGCCAAGGGAGGAAGTCCTCAAAAGCATGAAGCCAGCAGTCAGCAAGCCTCAGATGGTTAGTCAAGGCAGTCTAGGCGCACCTACTGCTGATTTCGTTTTTAGGAGCGGGATTCTCTTTTCTGTCCAACTTCACTACATATGTGGGGTAAAATAACCCGAGGCCTGGACTTTGAAATGGAAGTCAAAATGTGCAAAGCAGAACAGACGCGCAGAAAACTCTGAATGATTATAATAATGCAGAAGACTGGACTTGTGTACCAAGAGAACCATCTCTCTGTATACTGTGCATGCTGTCTCTTCCACATATTGTTCATAAAGCCATACAGTATATAATGCATGTGCATGGCAGTTCTGGCCTCCTAAGCAGAGTATGAAAGCAGGGTTACTATAGTGAGAATAGCCTTTAAAACGCTTTACCATAAATGCATTGGTATTTTTGTCTTTCAGGTAATAAAGCTGTAATACCATTTTCATGTAAAGCTATACTTCTCTTCTAAAGTTGTACCCACTCAGGTATTTAAAATGAGACTTCAAAATGCAAATATCCAACTTTGTTAGAGATTGAGGGAGTCTCTTGGTTATGGGACACACAGAACAGCTACAGGTGACCAGGAATCAGACTTAGGGAGTTATTTTTGCCAACATAGCTTCCGCTAGGGATGCAGCTGGGCCTCACACCTGAGTTCTCTTCGATCTCTCATGGCAGAATTTTTTGTTTTGAAGTTTATTTATTTTTGAAAGAGACAGAGACAGCATGAGTAAGGGAGGGACAGAGAGAGAGATAGAGACAGGGAGGCAAGTAGGGAGGGAGAATCCTAAGCAGGTTTCGCGCTGTCAGTGCAGAGCCAGATGTGGGGTTTGACCTCACGAACCGTGAGATATGACCTGATCTGAAACCAAGAGTCATTCGCTTAACTCACTGAGCCACCCAGGTGCCTCTCATGGCAGCAGTTTCAAACTCCCAGCTCCTCAAACTCCTTCAGAGTACTCTCAGCAGATGAGGTGGCCCCCCCTTCATGGAGGATGCACCA